AAGGGCTATTTAAAATAATTAAGGTAATAAATTAATAAATATATTATTTATAATTACTTAAGTTATATAAGAAAATCTATCTAATCTTTTATATATTATTCCTTAAGAAATAGAATATAAAAAATAGTAACTTACTAATACTACTCTAGCTAGTTATTATTAATAATAAAAAAAAATAAGAGATAGAATAGATTATTATATAATAAAAGCTATATAATAAAGACTAATACCTAGTTAAATAAAAAGAATAACTAATATATAAGAATACTTAATAATTAGTAAAAGATTTAAAAAATATATAAGATATTTTAAATAAGTTTTACTATATAAATAAGATATAAGTAAGATATTAATAAAATATTATAAAATAATAAAATATAAAAATAATAAATTAATAAGATTAAAGAATTAAAAAGACTATAAAAATATATTAATAATATTATTTTTTCTCTTTTTCTTATTAAATTTTAAAATTTAATAGGGATATATTATAAGTATTAAAAAATTTTAAAAAAATAACTTAATTTTATTATATAAAAATAAAAATAATAAAGTACTTATATTATAATATTAATAAATTTTTAATTATTATAATTATTTTAAATCTTTTTATTACTATTCTCTAACTTTATTATACTACCCCTAATATATTATATATTAAATAAATAAAATATATTATAATTAATAAATTAAAGTAATTTCTTTATCTAGTCCTTAATCTTAAAATAATAGATAAAAATCTTAGTAATATAGGCCTATTAAATATAGGCTATTATATCTACTACCTTACTAGATATTACCTAAATTTCCCTAAGACTAACCTATATAGATAGAATAATAAGAAAGTACTTTTTATATAAATAAGTATATTAAATATACTATTATTCTAGATTTAGATATATATAAGAATAAGCTTTTATAGAACTATTATCTATATATTATTAAAATTTAGTATAATATAAGTAATATAGTATTTATATAATAGTAACTAGGCTAGTAGAGATAACTAGAATAGTTAAAGTAGCTAGAATTATAATAATAGTAAGAATAATAAAAGCTAGTATAATAATAAGAGCTAGTATAATAATAGGAGCTGGTATAATAATAATAGTAGGAATAACTAGAGTTACTATAGTAGAAAAAGTAAAAAAAAAAATAATAAGAGTTACTATAATATTAGAAGTAGTTATAGAAAATAAGAAGGATATAATCTTATTAGATAATAAAATAATAATAATAAAAATTATAAGAAATATACTAGTAATAATAAAAATTATAGGTATTATAATTAATATAAATATAAGAAGATTTATTATAAAAGTTTATAAATAATTAGTATAATAAACTTATATTACTAGAATAAAGATACTTATAAAGAAAAAAATAATAATAGCTAAATAAACTCTCTTTTATAAAGATATAGTTAGTATAATATTAGATAAAGAATATTTTAAGGAAGCTATAAGATTTATAATATAATTAATTATTATTATAATATTTAAATAATAATAACTTATTTAATATAATATATTAATTTATTAAAAGAGACTTTTTAAAATATAAATTAAATTAAAAAAAATATATATAAAAAAGTATTCTCTTATAATATTTATATTATAATAATATCTTTATTTATTATTAATATATTTAGTAAATTACTTACTCTTATTTATTATTTTATTTAAAGTAAAATATAATATTATTTATATTTTATTTAATAAAGTATAATTAATAAAAATAATATTATATATATTATTATTATTTCTAGTATTAAATAAAAAAGTAGATTATATTATATTAACTAGGACTAGCTCCTTCTTAGTAGAATATTAAGCTAGATTAGGTATAATATATATAATATGTAGATATATTACTAAGAAGAGAGAAGATAATTATTATAGTAATTATATAATATATAATTATATATTAAACTATATATTAAATTATATATCTAATAATTAAAAATAATTAAAAAAATAATAATATTTAAGTTACTTATATTATACTAGTAACTTAATTAAATAATATAAATAATAATATAATAATCCTTAAAATACTAAGAGGTAAGTACTTTATTTTATTACTTCTAATACCTTCCTACTATCCTTGTACTCTGTGTAGCTTTGCTTCCTTTACTAACACTACCCATACCCAAGTGCCTCGCCAGCAAGACACTTACACTATTTCTTTATAAAAGAGATAATTAAAAATAGTAGAATTTAATTATAAATAGTTAGTAAAAAGGATAATATTACTAATACAGTCGGTGATCACCTGATACACGGCCCCACCTGATGCACAAAATCACTACTAACTATAAGAACCAACATGAAGTAATTTAACCATATATAATTAATATTATCTCTTAAATTTTTAGTGGTTAAAAGTAGTTATTAGATATAGTCTATAGATAATTTTTAGTCACCTTAAAAGTAGTATAGTAGTTAGATCTCGCAGCCTTGATAATTTACTATAGGAGGGGCCTCAATAATATTTATAGGGGTTATTAGCCTGATTTCTATAGATTTTAGCTAGTATAAAGTTATAAATATCTTCTTTAGGATCTTCTTTACTTTCTAGAAGTTATTTTAAAGCTAATAATCTACCTTTTTTACCAGGCATGTCTTCTCCTTCTATTATTTTTTCTACTCTACCTCTAATAACCATAATTCTTATTAAGATACTTAATTTCTCTTATACTCTTTAAGTAAGTATTATTTTTCTTCTTTAGCAAGCTACTAACAGACCTTTTCTTCCTCTTTTAAGGCCTTAATAAGTTATATAGCCTTATCTTTCTATTTCTAAAGATTATAGGCTTGCTAGATCTTTTATAGAGAGTAAAATATTATACTACTATCCTTAGGTACTATAAGCTCAAATTTTAAAGGCTTACTATACTAGTACTTCTTCTTCTTATTCTAGAGAGTTAATTTAAGGTCCTTATAATATAATTTAAGAATTATATTCTCTATAAAAAAATAATATATTATAAAACTTAACTTCTTAGTATTCTTATTATATATATTAGTAACTATATAATTTAGAAGCCTTTTAATCTTTCTCTAATCCTCTACTTATAGGATTAATCATAAGAAATTACTAGATAATAGCTATAAGTCTATCTTTCTATTAAATTAGACTAAAATAATCTTAAGATTAAGTAGTAATATCCTAATAATTTTTTATAAAGAAAGTATATTTTTTAATAATAAAGTCTAATTCCAGGCTAGCTAGAAGAGATAGAAAAAATCCTACTTAGTAATATAGTTAAGATCTATTAATTTATGTAAGAAATTCTCTAGATTCTTACTATAAGTAGTAGAAAGAGAACTAAAGATTCTAATATTAAGTAGCTACAGTAAATAAATTAAATAAAATAGATAAATTATTAAAAGAATCTTATTAGTATTATAGTAATTAATAAACTTTATAGTAAGGTAAGATCTATAATTATTAAGGATTAGAAATCTCTAATACCTCTATATTTTCTTTTTTATCTCCTGGTTAAATATATTTATTAACTAGGTATATCCTAGCTTATTATTTATCTAACTACTTGTAGAGGAGGTAAAGAAGCAATTATAAAGCTTAGGATTAAAGTCTTATAGCCAGGAATCCTGGATATTACTACTAGTAGCCTAGTAAATAAGACCTGGTAAGAGCAAGCTTCTATTAGCATAAATATAAGTAATTAAGGTTATCTACTCTTAATTTCTATTTTACAGGCACTACTTAAAGGCCCTATTCTTATATTTCTACTTAAAAAAGATCCTAAGACCTTTAACAAGTATTCTAATAAGAAATCCTTTTTTATTTATATTATAGATATCCTCTATATATAGCTTATATTCCTCTAGTTTCTAGTATAGTAATTTAAAATATAGTATATATTTATATATAGAATTAGCTTATTTTCATATAGTATTAATAGTAGTTATATAGGTTAAAATAAGATTATCTTAGTATTACTTTAGAAAGTAGCTAGGCTAGTATTTTCTAGACTTCTATCTACTTATTTCCTTTATAAAATTATATAATATTTTATGGGATATAAAAAGGCCTTATTTAGTAAGTTTATTAATATATCTTATAAGTTCTTTTTCATATTAATTACTAAGAGCTTGCTATTACTTATATTAATAATCTTTTAAATATGAAACCCTATAATAGTACCTTAATAATATTAATTACTCAATACTAAATTATTTTACAATTTTAGTATAGTTAATTAAAGTGCCTGGTTCTAAGGAATCGATTGCTTCTAATACTACTTTAATTAGAGTTATATTAAATAAGATATGTGAAGTTGAAAATTGCTATCTAGAAAGTCAGTAAGGGGCAAAATGTGCATGAGATGGGGCCGTGCATCAGGTGATCACCGACTGTAAGCTAATTAAGGTACTACTAATTATAAAATTTAATAAATTTATTAAGAGGTTAGGTTTTAGTAGATTAGAGATAGACTCTAAATAGCTTCATATAATAGATATGTTACTAAGGGGGGTATATTAGAGTACTGCACTTAGTAAATACAACTAGCACCACTATAAAGCAGCATCACTATAAAGAAGAAGATAGCAACACATGACTACCCAGTATATTTAAGCCACTATTTCCTTCTAGATCTCCATACTTCTTCCAAGCATCTTCTTCATCTCTCCATCTCCTAGTTAGACCCAATTTGAACCCATTTCAGTCAACTTTCTACCGTCATAGTTTGACGACCTCTCATCAAGTCATATATCATAGCAAGATAGCCCAGTAGTCAATGCCATTCTCCATGCGCAACTCCACAAGAAATCCCTGTGTATAGTTATAGTTCTCAGTCTCTCATCTTAGTTACGAGCTCTATTAGGGTTTTGATAGGTCACAAAGAGAGCGGAAGCCCGTCCTTGCATGTTTTTAATGGCCAACAAGTAATCCAGTCATGCAATAACATGTCTATTAATCTGACTGGTTGCCTTATTCCACCGCAAGTGAAACATCCGACAAGAGCCATCAATCAATCACAATCCCCCAGGCTTACCCAGAGCCACTTGTTCTGGGATAAATATAGAGACTGATCCAACCTGTAACTTGATCATTTGGGTGGACCGTTTAAAAGTGCGTTTCCTCCCTTGCTTTTGCTTCATTCTTCATTCTACTGTCTCTCGTGCCTAACGCTGCTCGCTCACAACCCCACCACCATTTGACTCTCCTCCCTCACGACGAAGAGAAGAAACGAGAGACCCCTGGAATAGGTCTGAAGAATAATAAATGGCTGCTACGACCACGACCACGACCACCGCCGCCTCTTCCACCTGCACAGGCAACATCTGGGTGCTTCCCACTCAAGATGCCGCCTGTGCTGTGCCGGCCTCGGGCAACTACTCCGATATTATGAAGAAATGCTGCTCGTCTGCAGAAGTCCGGTCCTACGATAATGATTGCGGTCTGTACTGTCTAGCCCAGGGCCAGACGGTTTCCAGTCTCTTGAGCTGCATCCAAGACAACGGCGCCACGGCGGGTGAATTCTTCTGTAACGCCAACATGTCTGCAACGGCCACTGCCACTGCCACCAAGACTGCTGAAAGTTCCTCGACCAAGACCTCCGCCGATAGCTCGGCCTCGGCCTCGAATACGGACAACGCGGGTGTAGTGAACAAGCCTCTTTCTATGTCTGGCTTGGGGGTGTTGGCAATGTTATTCTGCTCGACTGTTGTGGGGGTTATGGCTTAATTGGGCTTTTCTTTTTTTTTCTTTTTTTTTTTTTTTGCGTTCAGAATCTAGCAGGTGAAATAATCGAGGTTGTATTGCAGTTCTACATAGTTCCTGGGCTGACTGACTAGCTGATCTGTATTATAGACTTCTTAGTCGCTACAACTCACTGCAGGCGGAGAGCAGCACAAATGAGCAGCAGTTCACGGGCTGCACTTACTGAGATCCCACTCCTTGCTTCGCCTACTTTGTGGCTTGTTTTTGATGTGGTTTCCAAACTACGTCTTGGAATAGCACCTGAATGCTAGTTCGGCCTTGATATTCGCATAGTTGAGCGATAGGTTGCTATCGTCATTCACATATTCAGTAGAGAACGTATAGCTCCCTAGCTAGCTACCTTGGTCTAGAATAAATCAGACCCGATGACTCCCTCCCTGCGTCACCAATGTATGTACTATTCATCCTTGCGTTACCCTTGCAATAGACCTGAATGAAAGAATATGTCTCATCACTCAAGAATGAATGCCTCCCGATACATAGCAGTCCGAACTCGAGGGGCAGCATTCTCTTTAACCCCCTGCCCGCTCAGCAATAACGCCCAGTAACGTCCAATACAGCACAATGGCTGATCTGAAAGAAGCCGAAAAGGTGCTCGACTTTGAGCTGCATAAAGTCTCCCGTAAACCGACTCTCCATACAGGAGAGATCATCCTCATTCACCAGAGCCACGGCCCGGAACTTACACGTTCTCTATCCTGGCTAGGCGCCTTGGGATTAGCATTCAGGTAACCAGGCTTCTTCCCGAACCCTAACCCAGGAACTTTATTTTTTTTTTTTTTTGACGCGCGACAGCATCTCCAATTCGTGGATTGGCTATGCGGCGACACTAGGAACCATGCTCACATACGGCGGCGGCCAGACATCGCTTTTTGGCGCGATTTTAGGCGGAGTCGCGCAGTGGATAGTGCTCTTGGGAACAGCAGAGCTGGCTTCGGCGTTTCCGTCGTCGGGTGTAAGTGCGATGCAAAAGCATGCCTCTTGCGTAATTCGAAGCGTTTCCTCACCACCAGAAACCGTCATCATAGGGCCATTACCATTTCACCTATTGGTTGGCTCCACGGGGGACGCGGAAGTTGGCCTCGTTCACGGTGGGCATGATCACGCTGTTGGCCTGGTGGATCAGCTTAATCTCGGGGCTGATATACATTACTACCTCGGTTTTCGGGATCGTCGCCTTTTGGACCCCCGGGTTTGTGATACGCGAATGGCAGATATATCTGGGGTACTTGTTGGCAATGCTTCTTTCCTGTGAGTGTCCGCGAGATGCGTGATGCGGACTGAAGGCTGGGTCTCTGGGGCTGGCTGACCGGACCGGACCGGGCCTGGAATCATACAGTAATTCCTCTTTTCTCGGTTCCTGTGGAGAAGACCGACTACATGACCCGGACAACCCTTGCGGTGTCGATTGTTGGGCTCGTGGTGACAATTGTCATCCTCCCCGCTATGGGCGGTAATGACTATCATCCGGAAAACATCATGATCAATCGCAATCAGAGCGGATGGGCGACGCCAACCGGGTGGCTTTTGAGTATGGCCCAGGCTGAGTACTCCTTTGTTGGAGCAGGGACCATCGTTCATCTCGCAGAGGAGACTCCGAGACCTGATCGAATCCTTCCGTTCGTGATGTGAGTCCCCCCCGTCTCCCTGGATATTGGATCGGCTGACGGCGACAGCAATATGACGACGCTAATCGGCTTGCTGGGAGTGATACCCTGGGTGATTGGCGTGCTCTGCGGTATTGACGACGTGGATGCAGTCCAGAGAGCATTCGTACCGAGTCTCGAGGCTTACTACCAGGTGACGGGGAGCAAAGCGGCCGCGACCTTTCTCCAAGCGTGCATAGCTTTGATTTGTTACAGTATGTGTGCAGGCCCAGCATAAACCTCGTCGGTTTTGGCTAACATTCCCGGATTCAAGCTGCGATATGTGCGCAGTGGATCACAAATAGTCGGATTGCATGGACTCTAGCCCGAGATGTACAACTATTTCTTTCCCGGCGTGATGTTTTAACTATTTTCCATGAATGACTATGTACTGAACACACACCTAGAACGGTCTCCCTTTCTCCCGATACTGGAACCACATTGACCCCCAGTACAAGTTCCCTGTCCGGACTGCTCTCCTTTCGGCTGCGTTTACCGTGCTTTTTGGCGTTATCTACATTGCCAGTACTACAGCTTTCAACTCCATGATCAACATTACCACCCTCCTGGCTAACGTGGCGTTCACCATCCCGCAGGGTATCCTAGCCATCGGCGGTCGAAACAAGCTACCTGCTCGACATTTCAATCTGGGGCGGTTTGGGTATCCGGTGAATATCTTTTCTGTATTGTGGCTCATTCTGTCCGGGGTGCTATTCTGCCTGCCGGTAACGCTTCCAACTACCTTGAGTTCCATGAACTAGTATGCTTTTTTTCCCGGCCTTGCGCGCTTTGAGACTGCTGCCCGTGCTGACAATTCTCGCAGTGGATCAGTCGTGCTAGTTGGGATCTTCCTCGCCATTCTACTGATGTATATCGAACGACGAGGGAAGTTTTCCGGACCACAGATTCTCCACGCTTGAATAGGCCTCGGCGTGGTCCAAAAACCAGAACCCACGAGTAATATTTGACGACTGAAAAGAAAGATTTTTTGTTTTCTTACTTGCTTCGTATAAGGTTGTAAAATTAGTTCCCTTCTATCATTCAAGGCCGGCTGGCCCAATGGCAAGGCGCTTGACTACGAATCAAGAGATTGCAGGTTCGATCCCTGCGTCGGTCAATGTTTTTTTTTTTCCCTTTCTATTTATTTCACTTTACCGAGTTCGTATAAATTATTTTTTTATTTTTTTTTTTTTTTCCATGTCAGTGGCCATAATTCCATATCACATCACATTGTATTACTGTGTATATGTACTGTATCTCCCAAATAGAAGTAGTGTTATGTAGGTCTATCACATCGAATATCAAGACTGCCAACGTTGTTGCCGTATCAGACCTTTTACAGCGTCGCAAGCTCTACCACCTACAAAAGCCCTTCTTTTTCTTGTTAGGCTATAAGATGGATCATGTCCTGCCATGTGAAGTAGAGCAAAACCAAAATATCATTGCGGGCTTCTTGCAAGTTCCGTAATCTAAAGAGTGACATCCATCCATCGCTAGCTACTTCCCCTATAAAACCGTGGCTTTACATACATTCAGACCGGGTAGATATCAGGCTGGCGTTTACCGCAAACTCATCCTGACATGGGTAATAGATAATCTATGAGTGCCTGACAGTGACAACGACGCTGCTAGCACCGCCGACAGTGGAGGTTCCTAATTTAAGAATCCCCAAGTTAGCCCATACCATAAGGAATCTCGGGGTCAAGGAATGAAATATTACCTCCAACGTATTGGTTAGCGGTGGTGCAGCTTCCGAGGATGGCCTGGGCGGCGGCGGCCACGTTTTGGCTAAAGACAGAAACATGGTTATTATCGGTCACCAGCGAAGCGAAAACAAAGGGCAAATCAATATAGGAACATACCATGGAGTGCTGCCGGAACCGCTACCAAGGATCACGGCCTGTCCGTGGACACAGAAGCCACCAGAGCCATTGCCCACACCGCAGTCGGCGGTGCCCTTGCTGTTCAGGAAGTCGATGCAAGTCTTGACATCGTTGATGGGGGCATAGTTGCCGACACCGCCGCAGGTAACTCCGGCGCGCTTCTCAGCAGGAGAAGCGAGGGCACTGCCTGAGATGGCGAGGACAGAGAGGACAACGGCAGAGAACATCATTGTGATAGATTTGAAGTTGAGGAAAAAGAGTTATTGCTGTTTAACTGAAGAATGCTTGAGGCTTGAGGCTTGAGGCTTGAGGCTTGAGGCTTTGGAGCTTGTGTGAATGATGAGGAGAAAGTGAGGTTTGAAGGGTATGAACACTCCCTTTTATACATTTTTGGGAGCATCAGACACGGAGCATTGGCAATGGAAGGTGAACATAGATACAGAGGCGTTCTTTCCTTAGCAGCACTGGCATTGTAGATCACTATCATGCATAAACGAGGTTACACCGCGGGCCATTACTGGATAACTAGCCTATAATCTTATGAGTTTTACTCCACCGCTCTGAGGCATTGCTGGCCATTATGGAAGGCCTGATGAGTTCTCAGACTTTGCCTGGGTATGATGGTATTTCTCCCCGAGTCCTAATCTTTTCGGTCATTTTCATTGATCATAAGATGCTAAATACATGGAACTTCTGCATAACTTGCAAGCTGTGACATGGACAATGAATAGAGGGGAGTCTATCTATTACATATTGTTCGCTTTAGGGCTTTTCGAAAAATACATTGGCGCTCCATGTTGCATTACTTTCAATTCGGGCAGACCACACTACCTAACCTAGTGTAAGCGTTCGCAAGGACTTCATGATTATTTCTCAACTGTTAAGCCAAGGGGATCGATCCTACAACCCAGGTTCAGGCGTTGCGTGTAGCCGAACATTATCACGAGGTACAAGGATAGGTATGTACATGTCAATCTCACCTACCCATACTGTAAAACTGATATAGTTACATTGGATAATAGCTTTTGATTTGAAAAAAAAAAACGGGTATATTCCGTGGCTAAGGCCCCCAGTCGTACCGCAGGGGGAGCATCTAGCATATATGGCTAGGTGTTACAGTAAATGTCTCCTTTGGAGGAGATAGTAATGATATTTGTCGAATAACTACATCACCCCACGTACGACATAGCCATGCCTAGGGCTTACTCGGACTTTTGCTCTCCCTGTCCGGAATCAGCGGAAGCGCACGTATATCAGACCAGGGTTTTGTTTCTTATGGTTGGAATTGGATCTGCACTCTGACCCGATAGAAGAAAGCAGGTAGTCGATCAGGCTTGCAGGCCAATACAAAGATATTTCAGGGTCGGAGAATGTGAGATGTCCCGAGGAGCTGCTGATTCGCATCTAAAGAACTCGTGGAGGATTCCACTTGTTATGGGGCTACTATCTGGAAGGCCCTGGAGTGTGTTTTGAAAGATGTGCCTCGGCTCCTTAGAACCAAACCACAGCCCTATCGTGAACGAAGACTTTCTTCAGTGATGCCATGCTTCCACTAAGCTCACTATAAACACCATCCCCGTTTAAATAAAAGGATCAGGGGAAATAAGGGAACAAAAAAGAGTTACGTAAAGACTAATGCAGAATCTTTTTGTTGCATGTTCGGGAGGGTAAGCCGGTTATTTAGGCGCCCCATGCTCAGCCCTAAGGGTTAATGTCATAGGGCAGAAGTGTGGAGAGATGGATATCAATTGCCGGATAAGTCATGCGGAACTAAGTAGGCACTTGAAAGCATTCCCTTGTAGACCTTATTACTTTGCAAGGTGACCTTTGCCCACGGACCAGAGTACGTCTCCACAAGGTTCATGGTTCACTTGGTAAACAATGTATGCTATTTGCCTCAGATTGCGTGAATCAATAACCATAGGCATTGTGTTGGCATCTCAAACTACGGATAGAAACCAGTCCTTGATCCCCTGCGTTCGGCAAAGATTCTGTGCCCGGAATCCAGATCGTTCATCGAGGGAATGAGCTTCACGCCAACCTTAAGCTTGCGGATGGCCTTTCAATTCACGGCTGCAGAGGATCCTCTACTCCGCCACGGGAAGGGCTTCACGCTAACATGTTGGACTATTCTAAAATGCACCTAGTTCTTAGTGCTGTATGTATCTCAGCCGCACCGTACGCCCTGGTTTCCCCTCTTATGCACAATCTCAGCAAACTCCAAGAAAAAACAACCAGGGAAGCTACCATAAAAGCAATCAGTGGTGAATGAGAGCGAATGAAAATGGATACCATAAAGCCTCCGAAGCGTATTAGAACGGGCGACTTCGACGAGCCCTTTGCCCGTGCCGCTAACAAACGGCGGCAAGAATTGCAGCCTGTCCATCTTGCCCCTCGTTTACGACCAACCTTTGCAAGCGACCGTCCCCCGAAAAGAGCATGGTACCGGAAGTCCTATGTCAAGTCCAAAGATGACGAGAATCCGGAACATAAGGACGGGCTATATGTAAGCTATACCTATACCCTAGCTGGCTCTGCAGCGGGCTTCCGTGAATAGAGAATTGACCGATGCGACAGAACCGTCCCATCCAGGCCATTTATGATATCCCTGTTTCTTGTCGACGGGTTCCCTTTGGAAGTCGTAATGCGCTCCTGTTTCTTACTACTCGTGAGGGTAAGAATGACTCCCCACGTGAGACCCGAGATATACGCTGGCTGTACGTAGAAAGTCCCATGGTTTCGCAGACCGGCACTAATTCAACCAGGCAAATGCAGCACTCTGGCTTAAAATTTGAAGAGTTTGCTGTAAGTGGAGAAGAGAATTCATGTAGATGGTAGCCCAACTGACATGCCACAGAACCGTGCTGTCGAAAACGCCAATGTTACGTCTACAACCAAGTCAGCTGTAAAAGACTGGCTTCTGGGCCTACAGTCGCAGTTAGAAACAAGTGTGTTTGCGGGAATGGCTTTTCCTGGGACCGCTAAGGGAAGTATGTTTGGTACCATGGCCGAAGGCAAGAATCTAAGAGTCAAGGACACATGCTTGTTCTTTACGTTCCCGTACTTTCTCCTGAGTGATCGCAGGTTTGAGTACCAAGGGCAGCAGAACCATCCCGTGAGAGCCTTAGTCCAGACCTTATATCGCAATGAATCTCCATTTTCAAGAGAATTCAGACAGATTGTGAATCGTCTGGAGCATGCCGGGACGAGTAAAGTGATATACGTCCCGCAGATCTGGTGTCTAATCGTCAATGATGGTATCTCATCTCCTTCTGTGTTATTTGCATATAGACCTGTGCTGATTGCAATAGACTATTTGGTGACATGCAGCCCTAGTCAGCTTCACACCCGCCCAACCAGCTACATTGCGACAGTTGCCGCAAGTGAATATCCCGCGAGTGTCCGTCTTCGACTCCGCTGGGGGTTGACATTCAGTATCAAATTGGAGGAGTGCAAATCCTGGTTTGTAAGTTCTCGAGACTCGTGATTGTGACCTACAGCTAGTTAATTTGCTTAGGAATTCTTGCTAAGAGTTCATCATATATACTCCCATGTGCTACGGATGCATGTCGACGCAGAGAGGTGTACATATTGGCACGCAGACCTGAAGATCAATCATAGCCACTGGGCATCAATTGTTCAAAACAAAGACTATCCTGGCTCACTGATTGATATCAGGGTTCTCCTGCCGGAAGAAAATACGGGCTGGAACGTATCCGTTTCTCGAACAATCCAACAAGAATATGTGGATACTTCCGGCCTTGGACGGTACAAGGTCAATGAGGACGACGTGGACGATGAAAGTATTGATGCTTTTGGATTCAGACGGGGCAGATTTGTGGTAGGTTAACTGTCCAATAATACAGGCTATGCGCATGAGGATAACTCTGGCTCTGATTAAATAGACAAACGATGAATACGAGGTTGACTGTGCGATATCTCCAGCCTTGATGGACAGGATTACTGAGCATACCGAAACCCGTCGGGCACTTCAGGAAGGCCAATACACACCTACGAGGTCAGATTCACCAATCAGAACGCGACGTCGCCGAGATATAGTGCGAATTCCACCTACAGTGTCCCGTTATTATGAAACCAGAAATTCCTCGGCTTCATCCTCATCGGATGATGAGTGGCTCACCTCACGTAGAAGAGGAGTCATCTCTAATGTGGTTGACACCGGAAGCCCAAACAGACGACGACGGCCCTTAATTAGAAGCGATAGGCCCAATCGTATACTTTGGAGAAGAGAGCGATATCCGTCTTACTTACCTCGCGACTGTTGCAGTTGGCCAGGATGTTATAGCAAATATAAGCAGCCGCTCTGCAGGGATGCGTTGAATGACCTTTTCTGGAACTCATCGAAAGCGACACAAACCTCGTCGCCTGAACTGGCGGATGACGATGTCCAGGGTATGGTGACCTGTTTTGCACAATGCGGTTGAGCTTGGGCGCCTGTTGAGCCAGACATGTACATATTGCTAACTGGAAATGCAGCTTATTTATCCTGGCCAGTCTACGTGAGTGCGATGACGGACCGCCACGGACTGTCTCAAGTCCAAGATACTGAGGACACCTTTGGACTGTACCGAGAGTCTACCAAGGGCACAGCTCCCAAGAGAGAACCCAGCGGGGATGCTGATACTGTGGATATTGACGATTCTCCTGCGTCCTATGTTTATAGAAGCTTGAGCGAGCGTCGCGAATATAGTAACCAGGAGCCCAAGTCAAAAGTGGACCTTGATGGTCTTATGCGGGAGCTAAAGGCCGGAACCTCTAGCATTGGTGCGCTTGTGGTCGATGCGAGCACTCTCATAGATCATTTTATTCCCAGCGATTTTGACGTTACGGTCAAGGAAAAGGCTTACGGAGCATTGTACGGTATTTTGGAGGTAGGTGCTCTATCTCCACCTGGCAACCCAAGGTGTTTCTGATACAAGATACTAGAAATGTGGCCAACTGGATCGATCCCAATCGGACGTATTCTACATATATCAAGTTTCCTCCGAGCTCGGAAAAGCGCTGTTGATATCCGAATGCATTAGGGAAGGGGTGCACGGCCATAAATCCGACCTCTTTCTTTTAAACTCCTTCGTCGAGGCATGCATTCTCCTGGTATTAGCACTGACACAGTTCAATAAACGAATCCCAGCCCAGGAAAAGGTCCTGGAATATACCAATGCCCATATCGATGGGCATGATAGGACAAGGAGAATAACCAGGCAGAGCAATTTCATTCAAGCATCCCGATTCTCGTCGGACTCGGATCCAGAAACTGAAAACATAGCTAGAGCTAGGGGTAGGAAGAGGACCGATGTTAGAACTCGCACTGGGCGTGCCTCTCGACCTTCCTCGCCTTTTAATTCAGAGAGTGAAACTCATTCTTCCGAATCCTCCAACATATCCATAAATAGAGAGGATATCTTACGCCCCTTTGAAAAATTTACTAGCAGACTCAGCAAAGCTAAGGAAGAAGTGCTGCAGGGATTCGAGTCCCGGAATCCACTTAACCTGGCCGCTTACTCTACTGTCAACTCGAGCGGTATTATTGCTTCAATTATCACCTCTATCATACATGGGGATTGTGACCTGACCCTGCCACTTGGGCCAGAGAATGCGTATCTCTCCTCAATGTTCACGACCTCCGCGAGTGGGGGCTCCAATTCTGTGATACAACTGGATTTGGGAGCGCTATATCAGGATTATTGCTCCAAATTGGTATGCGTTTATACAAAATGTGCTGCTTGGCTTTGATATTAACGATGCTTAGAGGTTGATTGTGCGCGAACGCCCTGCTCGGAATCTCCTTGATGACCTAGACCTAGCGGAAGAAGAGCTGGATAGCATTATCAAAACATCTGAAACCCAGCAAGAGGTAATCAAAGAGTTCTTGCGCCAGAGCTTCCAGAGACAACCCACGCAGAATGCCTGGGTTGGGGAGTTGAATTCGGCCTACAAGATCCTGGACAACAAGATTGGCGTCTACGAGGACCTGAAAGTCCAAATCGACAAATTAAGGAGACAGGTGAGCTGGCCTAATAAATTCCACTCACCATTCTCGATTATTGACGGCAAAATTAGATCACGCTACAATTGGAGCTGAAGGAGGATACCAACAGCAAAGCCATTATGATTTTCACCATAGTGACTGTCATCTTCCTACCGCTTTCATTCGTGACCGGCTATCTTGGTATGAATACAGTGGATATCCGCGATATGGATTTTGGGCAATGGGTTTACTGGGCTTCTGCGGTACCGCTGACTATCTTGGTTGTGACTTTCTGCATGACCCTTGCCTATCAAGGGCATAAGATACAGGAATACGTTTGTCGTTTCTAAGTGTATGTAAGGGTTTTTAAGTTTGAATATTCGAGAGCAAGGGTTATTATGGATAGCATCAGGCTCAACAGTCATTCTCCCAAGTGAGGTGCTCCTTAAGTTGGCAAACAAGCTTGATAGTGATATACCCCCGATCCAACCACCAAGATTTTCTTTCCCTTTCCCTTTCCATTGCCAGGCAGTTTGACAGTGGCTTGTGTATTGGGAGGCACTTCCAAAGCTAACTGGAAATTCCTGGTACCCTTCGCACAGCCCTCGCCCTTATGAGCATCGACCGACCACTGCGTGGCGATGAGGCCATAGGGGCTCAGAAACTGCGTGGACGCCTCATCCAATCCACCACCGGGGATAATCTCGACATTGAACTTCTTCCAGCCCGGCTCCTGTGGACTTAACCCGCCAATGCTTTCATGGATCCAACTCCCCACGGACCCAACCGCATAGTGATTGAAGGAGGTCATTTCGCCAGGGTTTATGCTTCCATTCGCCAACATACTATCCCAACGCTCCCAGGTGGTCGTGCCATTCATGATAACCTGGAACAGCCAGCCCGGCACGTCTTTCTGTCGAAGCATGTTATAGAACGTGTCTGCGGCCCCGTACGCTGAGAGGGTATGTCCGAGTAGATGCGTTCCAGCAAATCCCGTGCCGACTTTGAATTCATTCTGCGTAATCATGTCCACCAGTCGACCGATAGCAGCGGTATAATGGGCAGGTTTAGCGAATAGCTTGAAATAAAGCGGTAATGTGAGCCCTGTCTGCGTTTCATTCGCTACTAATCCTGAGTCGGAGATCCAGGCATCCTGAAACGCCTTTGTTAGTGCGGCACGAGAGCTAGCATATCCCTCTGCATTCTGTGCAAGAGACAACGCAGACGACATATTAGCCACCATCTCCGTACTGTGGATGAGATACGCGTCCGAGACTAGGTAGCTGTTTGTCGTTGCCGCCCCTGGGCTATCGGGTGGTGCCTTGGGGTCCAACCAGTCAGCGTACTGGAAGGTAGAGCGATTCCACAGCCCGACTTCATTCCGGATGATGCCCCTGTCAATCCAGTCCTTGGCTCCCGGATACTGCTCCTGCAGCATGGCTTTGTCGCCAAAACTCTGGAAAAGTTGCCATGGGACGCCTACGATGCTATCTCCCCAGATTGACGTGGCGGGCGATGATGGCCCGAGGACATTAGGGATAGTCTGTGGCGGCGCGACTAAAATCAAAATTAGCCGCGGGGGGTCCGTTTCTATGTACATATGTAAAGAAAAGAGGATTCGGAGAACTTGCATGAGTTTTCCTGCTGCTCTGAATATGCATCCCTCAACCATCCGCGCAAAAATCCCGCCGTATCGTAAATGAAATTTGCCGTGCGCGAGAAAGCATTAATGTCTCCGGTCCAGCCGAGGCGTTCGTCACGTTGGGGACAGTCAGTCGGTATACCCAAGAAATTCCCGCGCATACTCCATACGATGTTCTTGTGGAGTCTGTTGATAAGTGGATCGGAGCATTCGAAGAATGCAGTCTGTTCCATATCCGAGTGCACCACGATTGCCGTCACAGAGTCCGCGTTGAGCTCCGTTTCAGCTGGCCAGCCATCAACCTGCACGTAGCGGAAGCCATGGTACGTGAACGAAGGCTCCCATTCTTGGACAGCATCGCCGGATAGAGTGAAGTAGTCTGTTGCTTTCGCGGTGCGGAGGGGGCGAGTAGCAACCTCCCCATTTTCCATGACTGCAATGAGCTCAATCAATGAACTGGAAACCTACAGCAGTCACGATCACAAGGTTGTTAACTCACCTTCTGTGTGAAGGAACCGGATGGTCTGGCCCCTTGGCCCTTTAACACGAATCCTCAGCCATCCTACTAGATTCTGCCCAAAATCAAGAACCGGTTTCCCCGACGCACTGGGGAAAACATTCACCAGTTTATGCTCTGCCACACGTCTTACGGGCGGAGCATCGGGGGCGGCGAGAACCTGTTTGGAAAACGGTACCTCGTGCGTTCCCAGCCAACTAGAGTCATTGAATCCGGGGCTATCCCATCCATCCATTTCTAGTCTTGAGTCGTACGTCTCCCCGTCGTATATCTCCGAGGTGAGCAGGGGTCCGGTACTCGACTTCCACGTCCCATCACTGGGCACGTAGGTCCTCGTACCATTGGAATTTGTCACGGCAAGTAAGCACAGCATGCCTAGGCTATCCCCGTAGATATTGCGGAAGCTCGCCCAGGTCAGGCGGCCAGAGTACCAACCCTCTCCGACGGCGACGGCGACTGAGTTCTGCCCGTGACGAAGGAGATCCGTCACATCGTATGTATTGTACTCGTGCCGATGTTTGTAGGACTGCCAGCCGGGGGCGAGGACATGATCCCCGACACGTTGGCCATTCAGACGAGCGTCGTAGAGGCCCAAAGCTGTAATGTACAGCCGAGCCGCGAGCACTTGCTCGTCCAAGATGAACTCTTTCCGGAAATAGATCGGTCGGTGAGTCCGATTCACCTCCGTCGGACGGTCAGATCCAATAGCCGCGGCTCCCTGCCAGGCATCTGGGCTCAGAAGTCCCGGTTCAACAGTTACAGGATCAGACCAAGGGGTGCTTGGCTGGTGCTTATGGCCAAAAGATCGCACTCGCACCGTAGCCTCTTCGCCTGAGTTCAATGGATCACTAGGCCATGGCACAAGCACCGAGTCGGACGAGTCAATATGAAACGTAGTAGCCGGTTCCTGACCGACTCGTCGAATTTCGAGTTCATAGGCACCCTGGTACCAGTCCGAGACTTTGCCATCGAACCGCCAGGAGATTCGAGGGGACGTTTCCCCAATCCCAAGAGCGGTACGATGGTGCTCAAAGAACACTTTGGAAACTGAGAGAGCCATGTTTGGGTCTGGAATAGAACTCTGGAGGGAGCGCAGCGGGCATAAAATAGCCCTTGCTTCTATCTCAAGCTCTGCCGTCTCGCACCTCCTTTCATCAGGATGCAATGTAACCCCCCCTCCCCCAGCGCTAGGGAATATTGCGACTTGAAATCCATGTCGTGGAGTAATACTAGCCCGAGCCTTTTTCATCCTGGTCAGAGGTCTTGAGTGATAAAATGAGGGTGAGTTGATTCGGAGTGCTCATACGCACCCCCGCATTCGGGAGGATAATCCAGGGTGATCATTCAACTGGGCCTCCGTGATCAATTGTGATCGACTCTGGATTTCCAGGGAAATGTCGCCCTCGGGAGAAGCAGATGACATCTTGTATGAAGGTAACATGTCTAGTGTGGACTCTGTTGGTCGGTATAGCTGATGCCGAAGTCCTTTGAGATCCACGTACAATTGGACGGTGACCTAATAAGAGGGTGGATTATTTGTAACGGAAGATGCCATGTAACTGACATTCATTTATTCTGCTTTCTACATGAAATCCCCGCCCTAGCCAACCGTGGGATGGATAGGCTGAAAGGCAGGGCTGCTACATGCCTCCTACACGATTAAAGCTGTGGTTTTATAGAGAGCAGAAGATCATATAAAGTATGTGAACAGTAGTGACCTTGCCCTATCCATGCAGATAAAATCAGCATGTAACACCCTGCATGCTACATCTTCTAACTTATAAAACAGATCTCCGGGGCGTTATAGAAGTGTAGAATGTGCTTCATGGGGCTATAGTTCTTTGTTCGGAGACTGTCTTGCATCTTGGGGTTGTGGTTTAGTGGTATAACGTTCCGTTTGCATCGGAAAGGTCCGGGTTTCGATTACCCGCGACTCCAAAGTTTTTTTTTTTTAACTCATCGTACATGCGGGATTATCATAGGCTTGACGATTCACCTAACTTCTTAATAATTATACGTTTCGAAGCTATAAAATAAATCATCAATCATAAAGTCCGCCGCATTGCCTCCGTTCAACGCTAATTGTGATCTGCTCTAGACCACGGCTCTTGCTATTCAATGATGACTGTGGCCTACTGAACATTACATTACAGGAGAATTTCCCAGTGTCATGTCATGTCAGATTGTCCCTCGCTTCCGCGGTCTCCTGCTCCAGCCGTTGGGCGAGAATCATCTGTGCCATCGCGTCGTTTGTCGTCAGGTATGTCCGATGGCCACGGATAAACCAGAAGGCCAGCGCCACAACCAGCATGACGCCAAACACGGCAATAGCGTAGTTCATATCTGCAGCTGCGGGGTTCGGCCCGCCAGGGAATAGGAAAAAGATCGTGGTCACTACACAGTAGACGATGCTAACCCAGTTGAGGAACGGACCCCAGCGGCCGAGACTGAATGGACCGGGGGGCAGTTTGTCGCGGCCCACAACCAGCAATGCGACAATGGGAAGAGCGTATGAGACTGTGAGCGCGATTGTGCTTACGCTGAGAATGGCCTCTAGCACGGTGTTGGCGAAGAGGTAAAGGATGCCAACCAGGGCGATCAGGAAGCCCTGTAGCCAGAGCGCTCGAACGGGAGATTTCCATGTCGGATCGATGACGGCGAAATACGCACTCCAGGGAAGACCGCCGTCTCGTGCGAAGCCCCATGTCAGTCGAGAGCCGGTAGTCAGGATGCTCACGCCCTGGCCAACGCCATTAAAGATGAAGAGGGCGATGAGGACTGTTGTCCCGGTGAGGCCCACGGTTTCTTGCATCAACTCGATGAAGGGAAGGTCGGCGTTCCCCACGTTGTCCACGTTCTGAATACAGAACAGGCAAATGACCATGAAGACGAAGCCTGTGATCGCCCCGATGAGGACGGCGAGCCCGATGACTTTAGGGGCGTTGCGCCGGGGCGCAGGAATTTCCTCCACCAGGTGAATAACTGCATCAAATGCTGTGAGGCCGTAAGCCGCCTGGACGAGACCAGTGAACCAGACGACACCACTAGGCCAGCCAGTTCCGTTCATCCAGGAGCCAAAGACGAATGAAGCGGGTTGGAAAGTCAGCCCAGATCTGATGCCCACGGAGATGAGAAGAGCCAGTGACAGGACGACGAAGAGCCCTGTGAACCAAACACCGACAAAGCTGTTGAACCAGGGAAGGATTTCATCGCGCCTACATCCAATCACGTTGATGACTGTCAGGACCAGCACCAACCCGAAATAGACGACAAATTGCAACCAGCCTTCCTTAACACCGTTCCAATTCGGATCATACATCTCCTGGAGACCCAGCATGAAAGACGTCATAAACGCCACCTGCGAGGCAGTTAAAGTCCACCAGCCAAAAGTGTTGATCCAAGCACACAGGTAGGATAGAAAGCGGCCGAACGGTGTATCCCAAAGCCTACACACCCAGTATGCCTGGCCCAAGGCCGTAGGCATGCTGCTGGTGAGTTCACCGAGCGAAAGGGCAACGCATAGGTTGCACGCTGTGACCAGAACCAGGCCCCAAAGAATCGAAACAGGGCCCCCATTAGACAAGCCGCTGCTCAGATCCTGAGCGAAGGTAGAATATGTCCCTGAGGCCCAATCAGTTAGTGTTCCGCGTCGTTGGACCACCGCAGGGAGAAAGGGTACAACAGACCCAGGACACAAAAGGCCAGTGCTAGCATGCTCCATATGTTGAATTTGCGCGTCAGGGCCTCCTGGTGGCCCATGGCTACCAGATCATGCGCATCTTGATCGACCTGATCGGCCAATTGGTCCGATTTCATCGGAAATTTGGAGCCTTCCATAACAGATGAAATCTCTTTTCAGTGACGAGGAGAAACGTTTTCAAGCCATGTCTCGAGTGGCCCAGACACCCGGATGTACGGGGGATACTTCTAGGATTAGAGTCTCAAGGCATGGACTTTTTCCTCAGGAGGGGGGACATTTGGGTGTTTCTACTCCGCGTTGAGGGATTTATCGCAGGAATCAGGCAAATTGGTCAAGGATTTCGGTAAGCGGCGAAAATCTAGTATTCGCGGGGAAATGTAGCCGTTCTATGTATGGTTCGGTACATAGGGCTTGCTAAGTGGGGTGCCGTTGCATCATTAGGAGAAGCCCCTGTCTAGTCGGAAGAGAGCGATATGGGATTCGGAAAGTATTCGACTACGGCGTACTTATCTTCTGGTTCTTAGTGTGCAGATGGAGGACTGACTATACTGATCATCGTGGGCTTCCCCATCAGGCAGGTCCTTGCGGAAAAAGGCGTTCTATCTGAGGCCACGACGACTAAGGATATTGGAACCACCTCCTATGAACCTACTACTGCTGCCACTCCCACGGCGACATCAACGCCATCCACATCGGAAACAACTACGGCAAGTACAAGAAAACCAGGCCTCGCGGATTTGTCGTCTGTGACGCCTTCAGACTCAAACGCCATGTCGAGTACAGCAACAGCGGCTAGCTCGGGGGATCCCACGGTCATAACTACATCCCCAACTGATTCGGAGCTTCCGACGAGCACTCCAGCGGCTACAGAGACAAGCGGCGGCGCAAGTGGTGGCGAGCGGGAGTGGAACTGGAACTGGGGCTGGGGCTGTGAACAAAGCTAACATGCAGGCTATGGTGATGGTAGGGAGCTTTGTTCTTATTCTAGCTGCGTACTCGAGATAAAGGATGCTAAATGGTTCATGTCTAAGTTATGAGAGGAATCCTACTCGACTCTAGCCGATGAATAAAGTTGAAATTCTATTATACTGGAAATAAACTACATACTATTCTATCAACGCAAAGAACGAGGCACCGCAGTGAAACATCCAATCCAAACAAATACCACAGCCGTAAAAGAAACCGGGGAAACTATCTACCTCCGCAATGCCAGCGTCTTTAATTTCACGAAATCCGGGGTCCCCAGTCCGGTAACCGGATCCCAGCCCTGGGTCGCGTTCCAGCTGGCGTACGGGATAACGGGACTTCCGTTAGGAGTGCCTCCGAAACGATTCTGGCCGTCGCAGCCCTTGCTTCCCCCGTGCACAATATCGTTCAACCCGGCAGCACCCGTCTTGTACAACCATGGGTTCAAGAACCCCATCACCGGCAGACCGGCTTGCAGGCGGGCGTCATTCAGCAGGGCCACGACAGCACTGAAGACAGGGCATGCGCACGAGGTGCCGGCGAACAATCCAACAGAGCCCTGGTCAACGACTGCAAAGTTGGTGCTCTGCGCGGCGACATCGGGAAAGGCACGGCCGCTCCGGTTGAAGTAGTCGGACCAGGTATCGCCGAGGATATCCAGGTAGGCTGCCACGGCAGAGTCCTGATACGAGGGACGAGCCCACAGGTCGGAGAAACCACCGGAAGAGAAATACACGCCCGCCTCGGGTTGCGTGCCGTTGGTGCCACCGACGGAAGTCACCCAGGGACACGAGGCGGGAAACTGCGGGGGGAAGTGGGTACGTTTTGCTGCGTCGTTGGTCTGGCAGGCGGCTCCGACTCCAGAATCGCCCGAGGAAAAGAGCACGGACACTCCACGGCTGCCGAGCTGGCCGTACATGTTGCACACGGAACGGGCATATTGCTCAGGGATGGTCTAGGAGATTTGTGAGCCGGGTGTGAGGAGCAAAATCATCAGGCGGAGGCTGAATACGGACCTGCTCGTCTTCTCCGTAGGAAGTGGAGATCACTTGAGGAAGCTCCTCCTGCGGCAACTTCAAGATGGCATCCAGGAATTCCAGGTACGGCTCGTTCTCGTTATCACTTGGATCGGGCTCGCTCAAGTCGGGAACCAGCTTGCCGCGGCCACCAGTGCTGTACTCGGTCACGGGCAGCGGCGCGCTGACCCCGATGATGTACTGCAGGTCCAGATTGGCCTCGCCACTATCGCTGGTGGCGTTCTGCTGGTTGAGCCCACCGTGGAACTGGACGACAGTGAAATTCTGACCGATGGCGTGGGGCGCGTAGTGGGCCTCGAACGCTGCCAGGTCAGCATACCGGGCATATTCCTCCAAGTAACTGGCGAATCCGATCTTGCTGCCGCGGGCAGCGACGGCCTGGTAACCCTCCGTGCGGTAGAGCTTATGGAGACATTGCGGGGTGACCACGTCGTCGCAATGGTCTGTAGAACCGTTGCGCACGGCGGACATCAAGCGACGCTCATCCACCTTTCCCGGCATGTATCGCAACGTTGCCCGGTTGGCACGGATCTGGCCAAAGCGCGTAGTCGGCTGGATCATGTTGATGTGCGAGGCCACATCATCCGGAACAGAGTATTCGAGCGTGCGCAGGACGCGAGCGGGCTGCTCGCCGTGGGTGTACCATAAGAAATCGGCATCCAGCAGCTTGTTAGCGACATCAACCGTCGTACGGAAGTTGATCCAGTCGGCGTCTTCCTCGAATTCGGTGATTCCCGCCGATGTCAACCAGTCCGTGACTGTGGTGACCGATTGGCCGGTTGGGAGCAGCATGCGCTTCATCTCATCGTAAGACCCATAGTGTTTTCCGTAGTCGGGGTGTCCTGGCGTTGACATATCTAAGAGAGCCCGCTCAAACCCTGCCGCATTGTGCTGGTGCAGCGCGATCCGGAGACGAATCGGTTGATTTCCGGCAGGGACGCCATTGTATTTCCAGCCTGGACATCCATTAACCCACTGCTCACTATGTTTTCTTCAGGAAGAACCATACCCTCTGGAATTGTCGCCAACCGCTCAAAGGCCGCAGCAGCGACGGGGGAAGTCAAGCAGGACAGGCCAGCCAGCGTCAACGCGGCTATACGAGAAAGGGACGATGGCATGGCTTGAAAAATTCCGAGGGCAGAACTGGACCGAGAAAGCCTTTCCTCTCAACTTACACAAAGGAATCCTAATCAAGGGGGGGGGGGGGTGGAAATCCAGCCGGTATTTATTTACTAATTGACGGTGAGATGCGAGACAACATTCCCAGAGCACTACAGACTAATATCGTTCGAGAAAAATCAACGATAATCGACAATCAACAAATATCAGGTCAATAACCCCCCCCCCCCCCCATAGTAATTTAAAAATATACCCTGTAGACGAATGAGATGGTGCATCTGCACTCGGAGAGACTTTGGCGACGTGGTCCCCACCAAGAATAAATCCCATGGTAACCCCCGGCTGTCACTCTTAGTCTTCAGGGCCTTCGCATCCCAGCCTAACAGAGGCCAGAGAAATCCCCACTCTGTTTTGCACCCGTGGGGAATTGGATCGTCAGGAGATCGACAGGAGGAATGCAAGATGCTCACTGGCTTGGAGAGGAGGTTGGTTAGGGTTATAATGAAGGGGGTTGGTTACGGCTGGGTTGGACTTTGTAGGGGGCTGGAGACACTTCCTGTCCCTCTCTCACTTCCTGTTTGTTTTAAGCGTCGATTGATTCCGGGAGATGTTTCATCTCAGGCTTGGTTACGGAGTGTGGGACGTGTCTTCTGCTGGGCCGAGTCAGGATTCGGGTCCTGCAGGAGGTCCACCCAGAGACTTAAACTATTGGCTTATTTTTGCTTTCTTTGCTTTCTTTGCTTTCCCTGAATTAGATGGCAATCCAGGGGTGATTGATTGATAGGTAATATTTGGTAATCGCTGGGGACGAAGGGATAGATATACCTACCTACCTAGGTATCTATATATGTACTCTCTCCGTGCATCCAAACCAATACATGAATTGACCATTGTTCAATGAAACAATAAAGTAGTAGGCCCCGGCAATACAGGTTCATAGCTTACCTGATCAGATCCCCTTGCCTGACGGACTTCATCTTGCTTAATGTATACAGTTACATCCGGACTCCCGATTCTAATCTTCAACAAGGGTTTGACGATACCTCGGCAAGCTAGTATACTCTGTCCCGGTGGGAAAAGTCATGCCCTCGCTCGGATTCGGGTGGTAAACAATGAAATCGACCGAACTGGCGAAATGTCAACATATCCACACTCGCGTAGGGAAAGAGTCCTTGGAGGCGTGATTAACTTTTAAATACTTCTTCTTGGAAGAATTGTTCTGTTTATCTTGCCCTAATAATACCATCCGTTGAGTTCCGTATATCGGAGTCAACTACTGATATAGAGGGTTCACTTCACTGACTGGTGCTACAGTGGCAGGCAGTCGCAAAAAGCCAAGTTACTGTTCTTTTTGCTAGGGTTGACAGAATGAAAACAGAACGTGGTGGCTCCTAGCTAATGAGTTAACTGCGATCTTTATAGCTTCAGCATTTCCCAACTCCGAAAGCGATGTCGAACGAAATGCTCCATCCGCGAGCCAGCATTCAATACCAGCCCTTGGGCGCGAAAGTCATGTGGCGCCCCTTGCCGTTGAAGGTACTGGACTGCGATTCCCGAACCCGATTTTGGCCTTCCAAATCGATTTTCCTTCTCCAATGTGAGGTCAGCTTTTGGTTGTACTTCTCCCACAGCCTGGGCAAGAGCCTGACGTCCTCAATGCAGTATTGTATAATCTCCCCGGCAAGTGGCCGGGCATTGAAGACCTCGTAACTGCCCCCACGCTCCGGGGCGAATAAATCCAGTCCCTGTTGCTTTGTGGCCTTCCAGCTCTGCATTTCTTCGGTGCTCATGGGAGCGTCATTTTCAATGCATTTGGCTAACCCATGAATTCGTTTTCTTCGAATACCTCCGTGTGGCAAGCTCCATCAGCTGGAGATCTTGTATTCCAGCCAGATTGATGCCAAAGTGGCTATAAAGGGCGTCCGAGTCATTGCGCACATCAAAGAAGACTTTTTTGATGGAATGGGACTCTAGGATGTCCTTCAGGGTTGCACCGCTGACTGATGCCTGTGTAAAAGCACTTTCCTTTAGCTTGTGGATATCCACCAAGTGAGTCTGTTTCTGCGGCAGAGCGAATATTTGAAGCAGCGAAATGGTTCCATGTCGCGAAAGATCCACTCCTTCCAAGTCGATGAACAGTGAAGGCGGGTCAGCAGGGACTTTCTTCAATAGCTCAACAAGTTCTGCTACATCAGCATTCGTTGATACCAAATTATAGGATGGATTTGGATTCTCCTGAATTGTTGCTTTCTTCAACGATGCTGAAATCGCTTGGATTTCGGGGTCTTCCGCTTCTAGGGAGGAGGGCTTGGTATTTATGGGCGCTGCCAATGCGTGTTAGAAACAGAGATTCTTGTTGTTTAGGAAAAAGGACTTGCAGGACATCTGGTTAGCTCGGCTGAGATCTGGTTTTAGCAGTACAAGAGAGCGGGAATGGGCCAATCTGTGTACACTGATACCACTTCCATCAGAGGTCTGGGTGGCTAGCATGCTTTTATATTTCTATTCATGAACGACTGTCGAGGTAAGGCAGTTTAGTAAAGTATACTGGCATGCAGATTTGTCCATGCTAGGAGAATGCGGAAAATGAAGAGGCCTGGACCGATCGAATTTATTCTATTTGACTCTAGGGATAGCTTAAGTTGGAGATACTCTAGTATTGCGTCAAATGATGTTGATTATGCGTATATAGTAGGGTTAGGGTTACCCATCCTGGCGAGATGGAGGATCGAGACGTTCCGCCCAAGCGCTGGCTGAGATCACTCTTGCGCAACGAGCGGAAATGGAAAGGACTTTTGCGTAATGATGAGGTGATTTTGTTGTTCTTCCTTTTGATTATAGTGCTCCGAAATGATAACTCCATCGGATAAGGCCCACAGTTGACACTGGAGAAGCCTGGCAAGGATGAGGTTATAGAGAAGAAAGGCTCGTAACATAGAGAGACTAAGGACATCATGGGGGAGAGCGTACGTAGAGAGGGTTATAGTAGAACTAGGTTTTCTCAAAAAAACATCAGGAACACACTGCAGACGCGTGGATGCGCCTAATCAGGGAGCTGGCATGTGTTAAGCACCGGCTCGAGCTCACGAAACAGGCGCTGGGCTTTCATTTTCGTCTCTGTTTTCCGGCGGGAGACGAAGAGACCCGATAGTTAATGGAATTGCACGATTATAATATTGACAGAAAGAATTGAAATACAAACACCCCCGCAAAGGGACAGATAATGGAATAGTAGCCTGCATCAGTCTGTTCTGCCATTCATGCATCCCCCTGTTCCCTCCTACAAGTCGCTTACACGCTCATCTATACAGCAAAGCTAGGCCTCGGTTCTCAAGACGCTTCTCCAAATCTAAGAAGAGGGAAAGCCACTTGGGGCGATCCCACTGGGCATCGCACCGCTGGGGGCAGAGCCACCACCCATGCTGCCGCCGCTGCTCTCGTTCTCAAAACCGCCCTCTTCCGTGTAGTAAGCCGCGGGGGTGACGTCGGAATCTTCAGAGGCATCCATGACGACGGAAACCCAAGCCAGGATACCATCAGACACATCCTTGCCAAGATAGACGTACTCGACGAAGGGATCGATATCGCTCTCTAGTTCCTGCGACAAGATGCTATCATCGGCGTTGACAGTCAGATCCTGAGTGTTGCTGGCGTAGGGCTCCGTAGCCTCCACAGCGGAGATCAGGTCCTGGTCAAAGAAGATCTGGCCGACATGAGACGTGTGGGAGGTGTAAAGGCCGGAAATGGTGTTGTTGTTCTGGTTCACGGTGGTCTCATTGATGGGGTGAGTCAGAACGTGGATGTGAGTTGCCCTAGCTTCTATCAATATGTTTTCTTTTTCTTCTCGCTGCTTGCGTCGGATAAAGGGAAATAAATACCTGCTAGTATAGTGCCCTGGGAAAATCGACTCAAAAAAGGCAACACCTTCGGAGTCGGTCTTTTGCAGACCGCGCAGGAAGGTCGTATCGATATTCGACGCGTCGTCGGAGTTGCCGTTTCCAGAGGCGATGATGCCAGAGTAGACACCCTAGGTCCGTCAGTACACGTCTTGAAGGAGGGTTCAATTGCATAAGTTCCAGGAGCATACAGTGGCGTTGCAGTGCCAGAAGTCAAGGTAGACCTCGGGAACAGGCTTGCAGGTGGTCGAGTCGATGAGCTGGACGTCGAGGTAGAGTGGCACTCCCTCTTGGGACTCGGCAATCGCACTGCGAATCAACTCGCCCGTCACGTCTACACCTGGTGAGTATACACTGGAGAGCATTGGGGTAGGCAGGACATACAGTAAGGACCCTGGGTAACATCCGCGGCCAGGACACAAGATCCCTCCGAAGCAAACAGCACGGAGGGATCGGTAGAGAGGTTGACATCCATAGAGGAATGGTGAGTCTCGTTCAGAGGGGAGGTGTCACGGGCCGTGAGAGGAGCGCCTGGTCTGTTAGTATATTTCCAATCCAAAACATCGCTATCAGAGAGTAGCATACGAGCATCAAGTCCACGCTTCTGGCGCAGCTGCTGCAGAGTGCGCTCACGACGAGCGATATTGCTCTTTTCGAGACCACGAGCCTGCAAGGCACTAGAGCACTGCGAAACACCACGAGCATGGATGCTCTTCAAAGCAGCCGCACGCTCGGCAGCTTCAGCCTTGACATTATGGCCAGGGTGCGCGGAGACGAGGCTGGCCACGCCAACGACGGCGGTAATGAGAGTAGTTGCAAGGTGAACCATTGTGTTCGAGAGTGACTGGAAGGGAGAGTATGAGGTTGAATTGAATCTGCTCTCCAAGATAGACAGGCGACTGAGGGCCTTTTATCTCCCCCCTTCTCTCCTTACCAGACGATAATCGAAAACACAACATAGTTAGCTGGGATATGCGGGTGACGAATACCTCTGGGGCATACTAACCAATGCTAAAAGCAAGATTCACCATCGCCGCCAGGGCTGATGCAGGAACCTCCTAGGCTCCTATACTTCCGCGGGGCTAAACCGGCAATTGATCTACCTGGATCATCCATCAAGAGTATCCTGTTACTCAGGAAGCCAAATAGTGGGCAAGCTAAGCTGTTGTCGATCACAACGTGTGAACGGCTCTAGACAACTAGGTTTCCCCAGCTATTACTCCGTACCACATCTATCCCCAATGATCGGATCAGATATGAAGGACATTGGAAGAAGTAACGGAGATATCAAAGTCTGGTCACTCTCATTCGCATCTACATCCAGATATTCGAACAACGTCAGAGCCCTAACGATTCACTGAAATCAGCGCGTCAAGGACTAGAATAGTAATCTTTGCCTCCCCATTCGCTCATTCCCACAGTGCATGCGTACGCTTTCTTGGCACAGTCGTCAGCCCTGATCCCGAAGAGATTCAAATCTTCAAGCCCCCCCGACGAAACCGGGAGATGATCCCTTTCTGGTGCCGGAGGATCGACATTGACCTACTCGAGTCGGATAATATACATACACTGTACGTACATACAGAGTCCCCGTGGTCAAAACCTAGGCCGCGTCTTTAGTTCCAATTTCTTCTGGTTGAATCTTATCTTCCGGAGTCCTCCTTCCTTGTACAGGATTATGCTTCGCCATTGCAACAGAACTATTTATGGGGTTCTATTTCTCCATGCTAAGGCAAGGGCTGAATATTGAATATGGCTTCTCCAGAGCGGCAAATTACCGCGCCCAACATGGTCTGCTCACATCCCCCGAGAAAGGATATAGCTACCATGAGAGTAGCCCATGTTCCCACGGATGCCACTACCGGAACTTGGCAGCGCAAGCTCAACGAAATGACGAAATGGGAGAGCATAGCAAAGGAGAGCCACAGCGACTCAAAAGCCAGCCCTGCACGGACCCGCGGCCTGGGCGAGGAAACGGATCTGGATGTATATTGATAGAGGCTTGTGTCCGGGAACGAATCGGAGTAAGAGGTGACGGCCTGTCTCTTGTACCTTGTACCTTGTTCTTGGGCTGGATGCTGACCCCGTCTTCGCTCCTTCCTTTAGCTCGATTGATTCATCATGCTACTTTATTCTGGCCCCTTATTTCGCAAGGTTATCCAGTGTGGATGTAGCAGGATAAAGGAACAAAGCTTGTTCCAAACCCTGATCACCGAAACTCTTCTCTTGGTTCTTTCGCAGTCGTTGCTAGACGCCAGGCGTTCCTCTTTCCCCTAATAGTGAGTAAGGTAGCTGATTTATGAATCCTAAGAATAGGTGGTGAAGCTGTATATGGGCCAGGAGTTTGGAATACAGGACATGTTACTTCACGGCCACCGTAGGCAGAACATTGCACCGCAGGGGCCTGAATCTCTAGATGCAAGAATACAGGATAATTTTAGCAAGGGGAGAATTAGGCGAGGAATCATCACCACCACGGCGACCTCCGACAATAATCACGATATAGTTAATGATTTGCATTATTATGTCCTCCGTAATCGTATAGATGGCTGGAGGGGTGGATTGGCTTTTTGCGCCGAATCGTTCTTCGGAGAGGTCTAGATTCATAAACGACGGCCAATAAGGTCTTGGTGAAAGCTGCTTAAACCCCCCCCCCCCCGGAAGGCAATCGATGCCAGGAAGCGTCTTAGGGTGAGTTCTACCAAACTAAATATATTGGAATATCTTACGGAGCCGACTCGGCGGTTAATCGCTAGATTCCGATTACAGCTGTGGCGGAATATGAATGAGAATGAGAATTGTATAATGGGATATATGAAATCTCCCAAAAATAGTAGAGAGGATCTTAACTTTTCCAGGGGTATGCCATCCAACCAAACCAAGCCCGACCGATCCCATCATCCCAGAAAAGTCGTAGAGTACATCGGAGGAAGAATAAAAGAATAATGAATACACATGAAATCACTCCAAACTCCAGTCCAACCAGCTAAACCAAACCCCCCCCCGCAGAAAAGTTAAGGAAAGGAAGTAAGAAAGAAAGAAAGAAAGAAAGAAAGAAAGAAAGAACCCGAATTAAAAAGGCATCCGTCGCCCCATGCTGTGGTTCAGCGACGCAAGTTCCTTTCGTAACCGCTCATTCGTCTCCTGTAGCTCTTGCATGTAGGCGATCGCATTGGTCAAGATCTCCGACTTTTTCAACGACGCCGACGACTTGCTGCTGCTCGCGGACGAGGACGATTTCGACACGCCGCCGTTCTTGGTGCCGCTCATCGCCTTCTCCAGGGCGACAAACTTGGCGTTCATGTTGGTCCGGTATCGTTTCTCGATGATATTGTGGGCCGCCCGCTTGGCGGCATTGCGGCCACGCGCAGAGTCGTCCGAGAGACTACGGGAGATTTTGCGCGAGGTTCCTGTTGATGTGGTGATGGTGGTGGTGGGAGTGGATTCTTGCGGGTGGATTTCAGGACTGGAGGAGTATCGGGCGGGTTTTCGTTTTGGTTGGGGGGCAGCAGCAGCCACTGGAGAGGGGAGATCGGTTACTCCGATGGGAGAGGTGATGGGTTCGGAGGACATGAAGTTGGTGGGAGAGTAGGATTGATCGTCACTGTCGAGATCCTATATATCTATTAGATACGGGGTTTTTTTTTTTTTTTTTTTTTTTTTTTTTTTTTTTAATAAGGGGAACATACAGAAAGTGACTCTTCACCCGAGTGGTTGGAGACCGCAAAGCCATTAATATCGGATGGGGGGGCAAAGAAGTCGGCGGGGAGATCCTTTGGATCCCACAGCATATCATTGGGGATATCCAGGGGAAAGGTCTCGGGCATCACGGTGTTGAGGGAGAAGAGGTCAATAGCACTGTCGTAGGACCAATTGGCCGACAGGGGATCAGGAGACATGAACGACATGTTAGAGATCGAGAAGTAGAGTGATTTGGACTCCAAGATAGAGGTGGCAAGTTGGAGGATGAGAAACCGTGGATAGATAGATATATAGAAAAAGAGTAAATTTCTATATATACGCCCCCCCCCCAAATCGCGATCAAACTGCAACAAATCTCTGAACGATGACTTTTGCCCCGGTGAGTACAGCCGACATCACCCCAGGCCGGATGGTGAACATCCAGAGATCACGACAGCGTCAGAATCAGACTCGGCCGGATCCGAATTGAAGATGATAACAAGTGTGGAGCGACGAAAATCATCGCTGGATCCTCGATTTGTACCACGAATGAGATCCGGCCGAGTCTCGGGGCCGATACGATACGAGAATTCGGCGGAGGATTCTGGACTCTGGACTCCTGGAGTACTCCCGAGGTACTAATGTTATTTTTACTATACTTTACTGGATACGATAATAACTTCAATTCCCTAGAACTACCTTAAATTGTATATCCTAATTCTCCCGCCCTATCGTGGCTCGTGGTTCGTGGTCTGACCTGGATACTCTTTCTCCGTCGTCACCTCATCCGTCACCTGCACCTGGTAACTAGTTCTTCAGCCTTATCGGTAACTCGGGACGGCCCATTGCTGCTGTCACTTCAACATAATAATAATAAATGATGATGATGATGATGATGATGATGATGATGATGTCGTGGACCCTTCCCCGGATCCTGCAGTCCATCCGGGAATAATCATATCCGCTGGACGCCAGGCATCCAACACCTATCCCCGGGAAGGGGAGAGGTGTTTAATCCCCGTCACTGAAGAAAGGCATGCCCGGTATATCTCGAGGGTAAAGCGGTACTAATGTAGCGCTGGAGTGCTCGGGAGGAAGGCAGGGGGCAGCCGGATGAATCGTCGCAGTTATATTTGTAGTGTAGCAACGATTCGCATCAGTATCACCTCCACAGATCCAGGGAGAGCTCTACTCACCAAATCATTCCGTCGGAATTCTTCCCCAGACCGTCGACCACCTCCTGGATATGACTCGCATGCGACATCCCACAAGCTCAGCTCACGACATTATCCCCTCACCATCCAGACACCTGGCGATCCTCGTACCTATCTCTAGAGGAAATCGGCCTGGAGACATTGCCGTGAATTTGTTATGTGTAGCGGTGTTCGCAGAGTCAGATGGATGCTGCCATACAGTACGGAGTACTCCGTACAGAAATGAAGCTGGAGCTGCGTTGACGTTGTATCCTATCCTCGGCGAAAGGGGGATGGATCTTCGTATTCGTTTGCATGTTGATCGCGGTGTGGATCTCTCCCCTGCCGTTAGCTAGTACGTACGGGAATTTATATTCCAGGAAACCAAGATCTACCTAGACGCCATGATATTCCAGGCCAGAGACTCAGAGAGGGGTGTGTGTACATCTTTATCCGAGTTGAAGTTTTCTTCCAGTTTTCTTCCTTTTTCTGGATTTGGGTTGTTGAGAAACCTGCATAACTAAACTCATTATTGTGCCGATTAGTCATTATACAGCGCATAACCTGCTGACTAATCAGTAATACACTAGCCAATCAAAAATCGACCATTATGCCATGGAAGAATTCTATCTTTAGGGAGTTAACTAGTTATACGACGGAAGAGTCGATTTCCAAGTGGAGATAAACTTAAAAAGCGGCTTGAGAATACTATTCAGAGCAGAGATTTCATTACCAAGAACGCCACGAGAATTCTAATGACCTCTAATTATGTAAAAGAATCGGGATTATTCCACGGTCTCACCCTTCAGAATTCAGATCAGTGGATTCATCGGGACGACGAGGAGGAGGCACTATGCCGCCGGAACTCCACCCGTGCCGAACAGTTCCATCTTGATGCGACTCCCGTCCACCCCCTTGGCCAGGAGCGCTTTCTGGGTGTCCAGCATAAATGCCGTGGGCCCGCAGATGTAGTACTCGGTTGCGTGGTTGTGGAGGAAGAGGCCCTGGGTGTCGTCGAGCTTGCTGATATCGACGCGTCCCTGGTAGTCGTAGTCGACGCCCTGCTTGTCCTGGTCCGTGGGGTGGCTGGTGAAGAAGGTTGTGTGGAGGGTTGGTAGTGTTGTCGAGAGGGATTGGACGTGGGCTTTAAAGGCCCGCGCGGCGGAAGTGCGCGCGCCGTGGACGAAATGGATGGGCCGTGAAGGGAGAGCGTCCGCCGTTGTGAGGGAGTTCAGCATTGAGGTGAGCGGGGTCAGCCCGACCCCGGCCGACAGAAGCACCAGCGGATGCTCGGCCGCGGGATTGTCCAGGTGGAAGTCGCCATATGGATGAGAGAGCTGGACAATGTCTCCCGCGTTGACGGTATCGTGGAGGATGTTGGACACGTAGCCGGGGTGTGCTGCGGCGGCATCGAGGACGCCCGGATCCCGGCGCACACTGATGCGGTAGTAGGTTGGTTGTGGCTCGTCGCTGAGAGAGTACTGGCGGCATTGCGCATAGGTAAGTTCGGGGACGGGCACCTGGATGGAAACGTATTGGCCCGGGAGGAAAGTAGGGAGCGGCTTGCCGTCCACCGGCTCCAGGTAGAAAGACGTGATCTCGTCCGATTCGGGCTCCTTGCGCGCAACCCGGAAGTCGCGGAATTGCGTCCAACCGTTGGCAGATTTGTACAGGTCGGCCTCTTTACCGATCATGACATTGGCCAGTTGCCAGTAGGCCGCACCCCAGGCTTCGAGAAGTGGCGGGGTGAGGGCATCCCCAAGCACTTGGCCCATCGCCTCAAGCAGGTACTTGCCCACGATCTGGTAGTGCTCGGGTTGGATGTAGAGCGAGGCATGTTTGTGGCAGATGCGCTCGACGGCCGGGCTGAGAACCCCAAGATCATCGATGTAAGTTGCGTAGGCCAGGAGAGCACCCGCTAGGGCCATCGGCTGGTTGCCGTTGACCTTGTTGGAGTGGTTGAAGATGGTTTTCAGTTCCGGATTGGCATCGAGCATGTTGCTATAGAACACCTTGGTGATGGTCACTCCATGCTCTTTCAGGACAGGCACCGTCGCCTTGATGAGCTGGACTTGTTCCGGATTGAGGGCCATGGTATACTCGAAAAATAAATAACAGCAAGAATGGAAACGATAGACTTCCGGAAAGACTGGTTCGAGAAACGTTAAAAATGGTGAGGAAAACCAGCAGTCTTTGGTCAACATGAAGTCATTATTATATTTATAGTCCCCTCTCCCTCTCAGCTAACTAGTTAAATCTACTAAAGAATTTGTAACGTGTCAAAAATTTTCAATATGTGAGTCAGATTTTATTCATTTGCGGTAGCGAACGGGATGTATGGCGTGGTGCAAAAGGCGAGCTTTCTCCGCGGAGTGTAAGGAAGGCAGCGTCAACGTCGACACTGAGATGGAATTTGTATCAAGACACGAGATATAGAGAGTTAACAGGAGGGGACGACTTTAACGGTCTTTTGGGAGGACTGGAGTGATGAATCATGACTGGAGTGATAGTTAATAGTAGACTATTACGAACCCCTGCTCGTGGAGAGCCCGGGGGGGGGAGTTTGATATCGGTAGGGCTGCCATCCGCCAAGTGGTTCATTCTTATCAGAAGTAAGTAAGAGGACGAATGAAGCGGATGATGGTCTGCGTCGAGACCGGATACATAAACCGACGAGGGTCGAACGGGGGGAGGTTGTGCCCTATGTACGAGAAGAGACTTTTGGAGGCAAGATATACCCTCCGGCAACCATGGATACTTTCCACCTCAACTGTCATCATGATAGTCCATTTCTATTACCCGCCTGGAATCATTTGCCAACGTTACAGTGGTTCCGGGACCAATGGTGGTTGTGGCCAGTCATGACGTTGACGAAGAGAGAGCTAGAACGCGGTGTAGATGGGAATTCAAAGAGGTATAAGAGAGCAATCTACAGCCTGATTGAGATGACTGGAAGGCGACGCGAACATCTTTGAACAGTTTGCGACGAATCTTAAATAGAGCAATGCGATTCTCCAAGTGGTTGAGAGGTGGCCAGGGTGACCAGCCCGTGGTACGTCCTAACCACAGCCTCCTGCCCATGCTGCATCTCGCCGACACCACGCGGAATAACTTCATTGCTGTGGTCGGCGAGTTTGTGGGCACCTTTCTGTTCCTGTTTTTCTCTTTCGCAGGCACCCAGGTCGCCAATACCCCCAAGCCAGCGGATGGAGCTCCTCCCAACACCTCGAACCTGCTCTATGCGTCGCTGTCGTTCGGCTTCTCGCTCATGGTCAATGTTTGGGCTTTCTACCGCGTCACCGGAGGGCTCTTCAACCCCGCGGTTCGTTCCCCCCTCTTCTTCTTCTTCTTCTTCCGCAGCCTTCTTCCGGAATGTTGCTGACTGTGTGTGTACTGTAGGTGACTCTGGCTCTCTGCTTGGTCGGGGGAATGCCTCCTATTCGGGGCCTGCTTGTCTTCGGAACACAGCTCGTGGCAGGCATCGCATCTGCCGGGGTTGTCAGCGCTCTGTTTCCTGGTCCTCTGAACGTTGCAACGCGTCTGGGGGGTGGAGCGTCCATCTCCCAGGGTCTCTTCATCGAGATGTTCCTGACCGCGCAGCTCGTACTCGTAATCATCATGTTGGCTGTAGTCAAGCATAAATCCACTTTCTTAGCCCCGGTCGGAATCGGCTTAGTCTTCTTTGTTGCAGAATTAATCGGTGCTGTTCCCCCCTCTCCCCCCCAGTTCTTGTCTAGGAGAGCAATTCCTAACTTCGCCGCAGGAGACTACTATACCGGTGGCTCGCTGAACCCAGCCCGCTCGCTCGGCCCCGATGTGATCAATCGCAGCTTCCCCGGGTACCATTGGATCTACTGGGTTGGGCCTTTACTCGGATCGCTGCTGGCATGTGGCTTCTACGGGTTCCTGACGCTTTTCTCGTACGAGTCGGTGAATCCTGGCCAGGACTTCAACGAGTGGGAGGCCAAGATGGGCCCCGGTTCCTGGGATGCGTCGATGCATCAGCGCCCGTCCGCGAATTTCTCCGACACCAGCACTCTAGACCGGTCGCATTCTCCTAGCGGCGGGCGTCGTGCGAACGGGACTCCCACCAACCACCACCAATCCAACGTCCCCGGCGCAGGAACCAGAGGAGGTGGGCTTGAGACTAGCCACCGGACTGATTATCATTATCCGCAGCCAGCCCGGGGCGCGGATCAGGTGTAAACGGTGTGGGATGATTTTTACGGGCAGCCGCTGTATCCTGCTGCATTTCTCTCCACGGTATGGAGTGTTTTATCCTAATTGATCTCTCCCGGGCGGGTTAGATTTTGTTGTATAGCTATCAGAGTTACTTTATAATTCGTGTTAATGCCAATAATGAGCTGTCGGGAGCCATCGGCCATAACTAAGTGATTTCCTTCGCGCTTACGCAGTACTCCATACATACAGGGGCTTCTTAACAGAGTAGGGCACGAACACCCACTACGGAGTACGTACTCTGTAGTCAAATAGTCAATTATATAAAGATAGCAATGTTGATTTTGCCCCTGAAACCTCGAGACTATTAATGTATGTCTCTCATGGGAATCACCCACCACCCCCAGCTTTCTGACACAACATAAAGATGCCGCAGTCAATCCTATCTTCTTTGGGCGAGCGCCCTTTGCCTTGGCAGGGAGATAACCTGCACGATTGAAGTCCGCGTGGCATGTTCAACCTGCGTTACAAAAACCCTCGTCTCTCTGCTCCTGATCGTGTCGCCGGTATCCCAATCCCTACTGCTGCTGCTGCTGCTGCCACCACCACCGCCGCCATGGCCAAACTCGAATCCGAGCCTGTTGAATCCGGGGGGGATGTCCTCGTCCTCGCGCAAGCGGACGATCGCGAATTACTAGGTTAGCCCTTTCCACAACAACGCGACGACACAGATACTGATCACACGCAGCGAAAATGGGGTATCAGCAGGAATTGCGGCGACAATACTCCACGCTTCAGATTTTCGCGATTGCCTTTAGTATTATGGGCTTGGTACCCTCGATCGCATCGACCCTTGCGTTTTCGCTGCCTGCTGGGCCCGCGGGCATGGTCTGGGTGTGTTATGAGAACTCGGATCTATCTTCGAGGGGATCCCTGGATTGACGAAACAGGAAATTAGGGCTGGTTTACTGCGAGTATCCTGATCTTCTTTGTGGGATTGACAATGGTAGGCTTCTTGTTTTCTCTCGACGATGCTTGTTGCCGTGCGCGGACTGACCAACAGGCCGATATGGCTTCTGCGATGCCGACTGCTGGCGGGTTGTACTGGTGGACGCATTACTTTGCTGGGGATCAGTACAAGAACCCGCTCAGTTTCCTCGTAGGATACAGCAATACCCTGGGATTAATTGGGGGGATTTGTTCCGTGGACTGTTGAGCCCCCCGTCCAGTCCACCCCCTGACGGTCCCCGATCTATACTCACAAGCCACATAGATACGCTGTCGCTGATGATTCTCGCCTGCGTCTCGATCGCGCGCGACGGCAACTGGACCGCATCGCAAGGCACCATCTACGGTCTGTACGCCGGCCTCATCTGCGTCCACGCCATATCCACGATCCTCGCGAGCCACATCATGCCCCGGATCCAAACCTTCTGCATCTACATCAACATCGCCATCGTCATTGCCACGGTCATCGCCCTCCCCGTCGGGAAAGTTGCGCGCGGCGGGACGCTGAACCCGGGCAGCTATGTTTTCGGGCACGTCGAGAATTCGAGCAATTGGCCGACCGGGTGGACTTTCGTCCTGGCGTTCCTGTCGCCAATCTGGTCCATTGGGTTTTTCGATTCCTGTGTACATATGAGCGAGGAGGCCATGCATGCGGCGCGCGCCGTGCCCAAGGGGATCCTTTTCTCGGCGGGGAGTGCCTGTGTTCTTGGGTTTTTGCTGCTGAGCGTTATCGCGGCGTCGATGGATCCCAACGTCGCCAATACCCTAGGGAGTACATTCGGACAACCTATGGCCCAGGTATTTCCTCCATCCTTCCGGCCCAGTCTCCCTCACTAACAGGATTAGGTATACTACGACGCACTCGGCAAAACGGGCGCTCTGGGCTTCATGGCCGTCTTGATCTTCATCCAATTCCTGATCGGGCTGAGCTTGGTATGACGACCACGGAAAGAAAGAAAGAAAGCAAACTAACCAGGGACCCCAACCAGATCGTCGCGGCCTCTCGCCAAACGTGGGCGTTCTCTCGCGACGGCGCCCTGCCCTTCTCCTCCTTCTTCCGCCAAATCAGCCGCCGGATCCGGTACCAGCCAGTCAATGCAATCCTGGGCCTAGCCGCCGTGTGCATTGTCTTTGGGCTCCTCTGCCTGATCAACAGCGTCGCCGCGAACGCGCTCTTCTCTCTCTTCGTCGCGAGCAACTACGTCGCATGGGGCACGCCGATTCTGTGCCGGCTGCTCTGGGGCGCCCCGCGGTTCCAGCCGGGGGAGTTTTACACGGGCAAGCTCAGTCGGCCGATTGCCTGGGTGGCGGTTGTCTGGCTGGTGTTTGGGCTAGTTCTGTCGATGTTCCCGTCTGTCAAGAATCCCCAACGTAAGTCGGATTCGCGTTTCTGCCTGGTCTTCCTCTCCGGGCCGGCGCGCTGACCCTCTCTTCCTTTCTGCAGCGAACGACATGAACTACACCATTGCTATTAACGGGTTCGTTTGGATCGCGTGCATGCTTTATTACTTTCTCTTTGCTAGGAAGTGGTTCCGTGGTCCACAGACGACTCTGCAGCCGGGCATGGAACAGTGAGACTACAGCAACAAAAGCAGGAATGTAATGTATAAATATCGTATCACATCACATCACATCACATCACATCACATCACATACACTAGAAACGAATATCATCATGTACTATACATATACTTTGTCCTGAATGAACCGCTCGATCATCATTCCACATGTCCTCGGAATTCATCAAAATACAAGCCCAATGCAAAGGCGTCGGCGTCGGATCACAGAGCTGCCACCACACCCAAGAGACCGACGACTCCCGCCATGCCCATGTACGGAGTCACATTGGGAGCCGCATTATCAGTGTGTGATGAGGTGGTAGTTGCATCAGCGGCCGTCGATGTAGAAGAAGAAGAAGAAGAAGAAGTAGCAGCAGCAGCAGCAGCAGCAGTGGTGGTGGTAGCCGAGCCATCCGAGCCAGTGGTGGTAAGCACCGTCGCCGAGGTCGCAGGAGTAGTCGTGGCCGAGGCTGTCGTGGGCTGGTTGGACGCCGTCGAGGTCGTCGAGTGCACGTCGCCGCTTATACTGGAGTACCACGATTCAGCGGCCGACGCGATACTCGAAGCAAGGCTTTCAATGTCCGAGTGGGCGGTAGAGCCCAAGGTTTCGGCGTCGGAGGCGACGCTCTCGGCCCAGGACTCGATGTTTGTCGGCAGGGCGGCGCCCTCGGAAGTCAAGGTTGCGAAGACAGTGGAAAGAACATCTCCGACGTTGGTGGCAACGTCTCCCACATCACTGAGTACGCTGTTGACGATGTTTCCGATGTCTCCGAGGTCTTGGGGTCGAGGGGAGGCGAAGGCAGAGGTAAGAAGGAGAGAAGCAGAAGCGGACGCGAGGAGGAACTTCATTGTGATGATGAGACAGGGCTTTGAATTCTTGAGAAAGAGGGAATCGAGTGGGGGTTTTGGGGGTTGGGTTTAGATCCTGGTTGTGGCCTTGTGTCGGTCTTGAATATAAAAAGCTATTCAGGGTCTGCCTGGGGCCGGGTGGTGCCGTTTGTTTTATAGAGCGAAGATTCAGGGACTGCGCCACAATGTCGAAATGTAAAAGAAATTGCATCGCCCAGAGATTACCCTAGTCTAAGCCTTGTTGATCTCTTCTATCCTGAAACGCAGCGCGCCAACCAGATCATTTCATCATGTTTGCCTTGTGCTGCTCGAGAGTTTACAGGATGCGGTGTCATGTATGCTTCAGCCTGCTGGGAAGTAAGTCTACTGTACTTTGGAAGAGGAGAGTGAGTGTTCAAGGCTCCAAGATCTAGATTGTTTCTTTACTACCTACAAAAAGAGATATGTTTGGTCAATATAGCAGGGGTCAAGAGCACACGTTTGCGTCACGACTGCTCATATTCCGATATACACATACACACCCGAATAAGAAACCAAAAGAAATAAAGAAAACCTGAAATACACGTCGGCCCAGTCCAAATTCCCTCAGCCACCGCAGTGTGGAGAGGGTTATCCGGAGACTCCGGAACCCTAGTCCAGTTGTACCACGCCAGACTTCGTTTTTCGGTCTGATTTACGGGTCAGCATGGAAATGCACAGGACCAAGCCTCTCGCAACAGAAATACCGTGCCTGCCAGACCCCCTCTATTGGTGATGCCTTGCCAATCGGGGTCGAGCTTGTGTCGCTCGGCTGCGGCCGTGAGATGACGACGTTGCGATCTTCCACCTGCGGAGCGTCCCAACAAGCATATGTACACTAGACACGGAAAAGAACTCACAGGAGCATTCTATTCTGGTACCGAGGCCCTATCATTCAGTCAGAGAGGTGATCCGTGATCTGTGGTCCGTGAACCCTCTGCTCATCATTGCCTTGCGCACAAAGAATGCAACGGGAACGAGCACGGGTATCTCGCAGCCATGCAGCAGCCCGCAATATTACGGGGTGTATCCATTCGGAAAGAGGTGTAGAGGATTCTTAACTTTGTTAATGCTTTGAATTTACACCTTATTCGAGGTTCATAGATTGCTATATCCATACATTTCAACGCTAGACTGTATAAGAAACACGCAAATGTGGAGATTTATAACACAAGAACCAACTACACTGGGCCGCCTGAATGCATGCAAAACATAAATTTATATCTGCTTACCCCCCCTTTTCGGTGATGTTTGAGTTGCAGAACGCCTTGACCAGCCTCAGACCATCTTTGATAGTTTCCGATCGGGTCGCTGCCCAGAACTGCGCCTCTGGCTCAATGCGGCCCTCGCGCCGCAAGACATCGTCCTCTTGAGGGGAGGGAGGCTCAGTGGCCGTAGTGTACACACTGACACGGTCCCGGAAGCGCACTCGCAGATTTCCCCGTGTTGGACTGCTACTGGTGGCGGCGTCGAGGTAACTTTTACGGAAGGCATATCGCTGCGCAGACTCGCTTCGCAGGGCCCCCGATAAGACCTTGCGGAGACCGGTACGCACTGCAAACCGTGCTGCCAGGTATGCCCATTCGGCCAAGAGGATCGTCAAGAGGAATGATGACAGCTGCATATCTGCCAGGCCATCTCGGTACAGGTAGACAATCGCCGCCGTGGACAGCGCTCCGAGCCAAGTCAGAACCTCGAGCCCTTCCAGGGAGGGGCCAATCGAGTCTGTGCGGACTGGAGGCGGCCGTTGGCATTCTCGGGTCAGTTTGAAGAAATCTCCCCGCACTTCAAGCCAGTTGTTGATCAAAAACCCAAGGCCCACCAGTGGCCAGGCTGCACCAAAGAGGGTCAAGTACCCGAACTGAACACACATCTCCAGGATGTCCTCGTGCACGTCGTACTCGTCGGCCCCCGCCTCGCTTCGGACTCGGGATAGAAAGGTAGCTTCCTCCACCGAATCAACCAAGATGTGATTGGTGGCCAGTGATAAACGTCGGCTACGGCGCGTAGTCTCCTTTCGGTCCTGATAATTGCGCCATTTCCGCCAGAGAACTCCCTTGATGTAGGGAAGCACCACCTCCTCCCCGAAGCTCAGCACCTGGCCAGTGAGAGACAAGTAAATGATTTCCTGTTGCAACCGATTGGTGTCCACGTGGAATTCATGAGAGATCCTCATGGAATCGCGTCGGATCGGCATCATGCTGAGATAGGGAACAATCCGAGTGCCAAACGGGACATAGACAAACGCTGTAAGAATCGTGGGGAGAAACGCTGTGATGAAATGCATCACGAACTTCTTTGCGGTCTGGGAGAGCTCATACTGGTCCTGGGTTCTGTAGTTCTCAAAGTCTGTCAAGCGGGTTGCAATGCTGGTGAGCACGTTCGTAATGGATGGGAGAGAGAGAGAGAAAATCACGGTGGGAAGAAACTCTAGGTACCCCTTGAGGGAGCCAGTATACACCTCGGAAATGAAGACCTCGAGACCAAAGGTCGCGACGATCAAGCCCCCTAGAGCTAAACTAGCGATCGAGGCAAACGGGACTAGTAATAGCTGGCGGGCAAACTGTCGCCAGGCTGAAAAGACCTGAAGCGTTTCACCCGTAAAAGCGTCTTTGACCTCCTTATCCCAGATATACTGGGCACGAGTGACCTTGAGAACGCCGACTCCTCGAACATGCCATCGCATACAAAGATCTGTCTCTCGAATTTTCCAGTATTCGACAAACACAATGGCCCAGAGGCAGTTTAGGACTGCAAAGGTGATTGAGTACGAGCCGAGATAATACCAACACACTGCTCCTGAAATAGCCGGAAATACAAGGAACGACGAATAGGATTGGATAAAGGCAAAGTAAAATGCGACCTAGATAGATCCCCTCGCGTCAGCACGGACTGAGGGATCCCCCAGGCGTTATCGTACCTTTTCCCCAAACAGCGCCCGGATGGCATCCAGATCTTCCGCCGTCAGAAGGATCGTTCTACTCCATTTCCGTAGGAGCTCTGCATTGGCAGAGTGGTCATGTAGGGGAAATGCTGCCGTGATATTCTTCCATTTGCCGAGCCCGGGAGTGATTCCCGCGCCTCCCTGTGATTTGCTCCAGGTCACTGCATGGTACACCGATCGAAGGGCTTCGGCTGGAGTGTCCGGTTCCACTGTTTCTTTCCTGACGCCGGTGGGAAGTTCGTGAGTGATTCCGTACAGCCAGTCTTTTACTCTAGACAAGGTCAGCCTGGATTTGTCTCACTGCGGAGACCCTGTCAGGCATCCGTACCGGGATTGGTATATCATGTTCCCCAGGCGGTCATGGGGGACCCGGATAAAGATCAAGAGCGATGCTCCATGTCCATGTCGTACTTGAATTTGCAGATGAGCCTCCTCAAGGGTTTGGACAAGCGCCTGGAACTCGTCCGTGGCTTGGGATGCGGCTACATGAATGTGAGAAGAAGCTGACCCTCAAAGCCGATGTAGAGACTTACTAAGATCCTCAAACTGGTATTGAAGGACCCAGTCGACGCCCAGATTCTCTAATTCGGCCTGTTCAAAGGGCCGGCGGCTGGAAAACGGACTCATCTGGCTTGGGGGTTATTGGGGCGTCGGGAATGAGGGAAACCGTCGAGTAAATGGATCGGATAGGGTCATCATCAGCAGCAGGAGGGTTGCAGCGAGGGATAAGAGTCCATTATTTACGAAGGACAGTCCCTGGTCAGTTGCAGTAACCCAGTTGCAAGAGAAGAATGAGGCCGAGGGAAAGCACGAATTTCACAAACATGGGGAGCAGGCGGGGGGAAGGGGGGGGGGGTGTTAAGGAGAGGGAGAATTAACTAAATCTGACAAATTCCATTGTGGACAAGCAGGCAATCCCACACTTGTCCAGTGCTTAATGGAGAGGGGATTCTTCCTTAATTACTGAGGAGTGAGGACAGATTTCGCCTAGCGCTTTTAATTTCAGTAGTGCTAAAAGGCTTATAGTCGGCAGTGTGATCCATCCCAACCCCGGCGTCCAAACCGCGGAGGAACCGGGCCAAGCTTCAGCCCTACGGGGCGCTTGTATGTACGGTGTATTTTGCATTCGGAATTACGGAGTAAACAGAGTGAATGAAGACACGAATAGAAGGGGTGGATGTGAAGTCGTACTGTCTGTAGGTATAGTTCAGGATAGAATGGAGGTGCAAGGAGACGAAGGAAGTCTTTGGGGGAACTCAGGCCACCTCATGCATGGACTCTTACCCCCGATTAACGCGTTACAAGATGGACTCTTCCAAATATAGGCACCTTTAATTCCCTTCATTCAATCATTGTCGGAACAAGTCTGTGGTACTTTGAGCCGAAGTACCAGTAATTCTGCTGCCTGAACCTTTCGAATGCACTTGTCCTATTTGGGGAGGGCATATTATGGTTCGGACCCACTAACGCCCCACGGTAGAGTGGGCCCGGATTGAATAGATCCCTGCTCTCATCCAATCGAAATTCAGTTGGTCCACCAATAATCCGTCATCCTTACAGGCATCCAACATTTGTTGGTATCGCCGATACAACTTCAATACGCCATCTTTTCCTCCCCTCCAGGATTTTTATAGCTCACGCTCGAAGGGATCAGCAGAAAGGACAGCAGCCCTATGCTGGGGGGCCCTCCTTTCCACTTGGGAAACCCCCTTCAATAGTCGAGTATATCTGAATTGTTCGTTCGCCTACTGGAGTCAGGCTGAGCATTCCCACTCCATTCTCTCTTCAACGATTCTCCAATAAAAGCCCTGAACTGCTTGATCTACATCTACACCGACCAGATGCTCGCTGCTACTCTCGACCTCATACTTCGTCCCTTGTTCCCTGGCCAGCACGCCGCATTTGGCCTCAGCGTTTTCCTCTTCACCTTTATGTTTCTCCCTACTCTTGTGGTTCTCCTCGCTGTTGTCGTCTTCTTCCTCTTTTACTACCCGCATCTCCGGAAACCGCATGAGAGAACAACAAGCCTCCAAAAGTCGGTGTGGACTATGACTTGTTTCTATTCCTACAAGACTAACTGATCCAGCAGAGCGTCAAAATAATACACATATTCCGACATGATGTGATGCCGGTTAATATTGAGATGAAATTGGGATATCCTCTGTACCATACTGTACCACTTAGTTCTTCTTTTTTTTTTTTTTTGCATCACGGCTCGGGATGGCGCATTACGTGGGTTGATATTGAGTGATGAGAACGATAATGACTGCTGCACCTACGACTACAATGGCTTAGTGTTTTTTTTATATGATGAAATGCGAAATCATGAGTATCTTGTGACATTTCAGTTATCAATTCCGGCTACTTGATATTTCCCTCTTGCATTGCCTGGTGACAACAAGATAGATCAGCAGGGTTGCCAGAATATTCATGTTTATGACAAGACACAATACTGGCTCTCGCCCAGGTAAAAGTATATATTGCAATAGAGACCAGCAGTTCAGACACTATCATCCCGGTGTAAGAAGTCCTCGCCAACACTGGTCTCTTTTTTTTGTCATCTCCAACATCCCATTGAGATTTACGAGCGTACACATGCACCTCTTTATCACTGTCATAAACGTGAGGTGAGGTATATTCCAAATGAACCAGTCTTACATTAGGCTGTATATAAATAGGCTCAAGAGGAATTTACACTTCCGTCAGGAGGGTGGTATTTAAGTAAGCTGCAGTTTACACGCATGGATTTTGCATGTTTCCAGTAAAGATAGGGTTTTGTCACGCCTATACTATATAAACCATATCTCTTGGGCACTTACATCGTTCAGAGTCAAGAATTCCTGCATGTTTTAGTATTGTGACTACTCGGTGATAAACACATGGTTCAGTGAGACAAACGTCAGCCAGCGGATTCCGGCCAGAATGTTTCTAGAATGATAACCCTAAAGGTGGTAATCAAGGTCCAGTCTGGTGTCAATATTGCAATACAGTGGTGTATATCACCCCTTATTCCATTAGAGCTCAACTTTATTCCAGGCTATAGGTTGTTCTCATTAACCGTCTCACCCCGATTTCTAGATATCACAGTGTGAAGTCCACACGCTCCATTCTTATAATCTGTGCTGACTCGTAGGCCTCTACTGCTCGATGCGTATCGGAACCCTGGACGCTAAAGTAAACAAGTACCTTAAATAGGCCGCTGTGTGGTAGGCTATGAAAATACTGGCCTTTAGCGATGGTATGGTTCGAACACAGGCAATTTGATGAAGTAAACTTTCAAGTGAATTTCCTCCTTTAATATCCCATTCCCCTCGTCCCGCTCACATGGAATCTCCCTTCTTAGATGAAGGGCAAAAGTTGTCACTTCAACTCGGACACCTCGCAGTTCCGGCTTTCCCCCAAACTAAACCGAACTACAAAAGCCCTTCTTCGTATTTCATGCATGTATGTACCGAACTGACAATTAAGACATGTTCTAGACTGCGTTAGCCTACAGATCGTGAGGAGAAAGAGGGATAGGACATACATCCAAAGAAATGACATCTAACTATCCGCGGATAAAACAAACAAGGAACCATCCCAATACTCATACCCCCAAAACATCTCAACGCCTTTTGAAGTAAACAATGCAACCCATTCACGCCTTCTTCCAGCCATTCCACCTCTCAAAATCCTTGGTATCGAGATCAAACAAATCCAACACCCTCCCCACACTCTGATCCACCAAGTCCTCCACCGTTGCCGGCTTGATATAGTAGGCCGGTACAGGCGGAAAGATAATCGCCCCGGCTCGCGTCACCTCCAGCATATTCCGAAGATGAATTTCGCTCAGGGGCGTTTCACGAGCGACGAGAACCAGTTTCCTCCTTTCCTTGAGCATTACATCGGCGGCTCGGGAGATCAGATCGTCGCAGAACCCGCAGTGGATGGCCGCCAGTGTTTTCATACTACAGGGTACCACGATCATGCCGTCTGTTCGGAACGAACCGCTGGAAACCGGCGCGGCCATATCGTTGGCATTGTAGCTGTAGTCTGCCAACGCCTTCACGTTTGATGGGTGGTAGTCTGTCTCGTATTTGACTGTCGCCTCTGCCCATTTACTCATGACCAGGTGTGTTTCGATATTCAGTCGCCGTAGAGCAATGAGAACTTTGATTCCCATGAGGGCTCCGGTGGCGCCTGTCATTGCAACAACGATTCTTTTGCGTTGGGGGATAGATGGCCCGGTATACCCTGCGGTGTCCGTGCAGGCGGGACTGTTGACGGCTGTCTGCATGTTGTCAGATTCTAAATCTGGGGAGTGCCGCATGGACTGTGGACTGATGGTTCCGGGGTTGATATTGGAAAAGATGTTAGCGGAAAGACAAGATGAATAAGGGGTTTGTGACTTATGTATGAGTAAACGATGATAACGCAAGGGCAGGTATGGAAGCGCCTTCTTTTGGCAGGAAGCACTCTCAAGGGCTCTTCCTCCTTTATATCTTAAGCCTAAACGCTGTGCTTTTCGTCCGTCACTACTTTAGAAAACTCGACTACTCGGGAGATCAAAAGTGCTACTTTTCATTTGCAGATGGAATACCACAGAATCATCTCAGAGAATACATAACTCGTAGAGGTATTATTTACAGATGCCCACGCTTCTGACAGGTTGCCTTGGATTCTAGAACGCGATCAATCTCTTCGCGGTCAATATTTGGGCTCCCAAAGAGTGGTTGTACATTTCGTCCATATGTACCTAATCGAATTCGGCATGACGAATGAGTTGATCGTAACTAATCGGCTCCCAGGATCGCACCCTACACAAATCCTCTGCAATGCGCTCGATGGCATAATAGTCACCGAGCTTCGGAGATATAACTTTCCACGGGGCGACGTGAGACTCATTTCATTCATTTTCGGAGAAAAGTTATGTGACGCACGATCATGTGCGTTATGAAATACCAGCAATGGCGCTTCCAAATGCAGCAAGATGCATATATCACTACGATATCAGTAGTAAAACCAGGCGAGGCTCACCAGGTTCGGTTACCGGTTTGAAGGTGCACACCACGGTTGATATCATCGTTGGGATTTCCGAGTCTCCGAATCCCCCAAAAGTGACCATCCCAAATTATCGAGACCGGGCCCAGAACAAGAGGTTAGCCTGTTAGTACTGGTCCTAGAGGGCAGCAATGGGGGGAATACTGCCAGAAAAATGGGTGTGAAGCAGGATATAAAACGCCGTGATAATGACCTTTGAGGGAAATGGTCTTCCTTCTTCAATCACACTGCACACATCAACACCCCATATTGTACAAAATGGCTTCCACTGAACCTCATCTTTGCTTCCGCTCCTTTGTTGAAGCTCTCAAAGCTGATGGCGACCTGGTTGAAATTAACCGCCCTGTCGACCCGAACCTCGAGGCAGCGGCCATCACCCGTCTTGCCTGCGAAACGGACGACAAGGCGCCTCTGTTTAACAACTTGATCGGCTCTAAGAACGGTCTGTTCCGTATTCTTGGCGCCCCCGGGTCCCTGAGGAAGTCACCAAAGGAAAGATATGGCCGCCTTGCCCGACACCTGGCCCTTCCGCCTACGGCTTCTATGCGGGATATCCTCGACAAAATGTTGTCCGCGGATGAACTGCCTCCAATCCCCCCATCCATTGTTCCTACCGGGCCGTGTAAAGAGAATAAGCTCGAAGGAGATGAAATCGATCTCACCCAGCTCCCTGCGCCCTTGATCCACAAGTCTGATGGTGGAAAGTATATCCAAACCTATGGAATGCATATCGTCCAGTCCCCTGATGGCAAGTGGACCAACTGGTCGATTGCGCGTGCGATGGTGCACGACAAGAATCATCTCACTGGTCTTGTCATTGAGCCGCAACATATCTGGCAAATTCAGCAACAATGGAAGAAGATAGGCAAGGATGTTCCCTGGGCCCTGGCATTTGGTGTTCCTCCCGCAGGTATCATGGCCAGTAGCATGCCCATCCCCGATGGTGTGACAGAGGCTGAGTACGTTGGTGCTATAATTGGACAGCCTATTGAGCTGACCAAGTGTGATACAAACGATCTGCATGTCCCTGCAAACAGCGAGATTGTTTTCGAAGGTACCCTGTCGATTTCGGAGACAGGACCAGAGGGACCATTTGGCGAAATGCATGGGTAAGTCTCGTAGCCCACTTGAAGATTTAGTTTCTCTAACTTTTTTTCCCCCCCTTTTTCCCCCCTTCTTAAGATATGTCTTTCCTAGTGATGTTCATAATTGCCCTAAATACAAGGTCAACATGATCACGTACCGCAATAACCCCATCCTTCCTATGTCTTCCTGCGGTCGAGTGACTGACGAAACTGTGAGTATATGTCTTCTAGGGGGGCTAAGAATAAGTATCACTCATATATTAATACTAGCACACAATGATTGGCTCTCTCTGCGCTGCTGAGATCCGCAAGCTGTGCCAAAAAGCTGGTCTTCCGGTCCTTGACGCATTCGCTCCCTTTGAGTCCCAAGTGACATGGGTTGCACTCCGAATCGATACCGTCAAGTTGAGGGAAATGAAGACAAACTCCAAGGAATTTTCCAAGAAAGTGGGGGACCTGGTGTTCAACCATAGAGCCGGCTACACTACTCACAGGGTGGTTCTCGTGGGTGAAGACATTGATGTCTACAATGGCGCAGACGTCCTGTGGGCGTTCTCTACCCGCTGCCGACCTGGCGCGGACGAGATGTTTTTCGACGATGTCCCGGCCTTCGTACTTGTGCCGTATAACTCCCACAACGGCGATGTGTCACCTGTTAGAGGTGGCAAGGTTGTTTCGGATGCCTTGCTTGCCGGCGAATATACCATAGGAAAGGACTGGGAGGCTGCGTCTTTTAAAGATTCCTATCCTGAGGAGCTTAAGACAAAGGTCCTTGAGAACTGGGAGAATATGGGGTTCCGCCAGTTGGATTAGACTTTCTTTGATTATAGTTCATCAAGCCACAGTGAGAAATATTTGTTCTCTTTGTGCCTGCAAGTTGTTGGGACGAAAGTGGATTCCAGGGCTTAGGCTGAATAGTTGGTTAACTAGTTATAGTTAACTATAGTGCTAGCATTATTAATACTAGCAGCAGAAGCATCATTTCTTTGAACACTTTGTATCTGACCTTCTCAGTCTCATAGGAGGTGGACCCAGTAGCATTTAGCGGCAGAAGAAAGGGGCCATAAGTTCAAGGTGGAAAGTCCAAAAGCAATGCTATCCAGCTCCATTCCAACCTAAAAAATCGCGCATTCTTGACTAATATTGAGGAATAGTCATCCATAAGGCGCCGTGTAAGGGTTCAGGTTCCTCTCCTCTTCGATGCACGCGCCAAGTACCTCTTGCCCAATTAGACCTTTGATGTACGGAGTACTCGGTGAATTGAAGGTGTTCATGTGTTTTTCTCAGCAGGATTGATAATGGTATCTCTTGCTAGGTCAGTTTCGCTCTAATATCCCGGATAGCGGATCTTGTACATACATATCCTCCTAGGGTCATATCCTAATTAGAAGTTTGGCCGGGTCAGATTAAGGACGTTATAAGTACTCCGGTAGAGTCCCTATACACAACTCGGAGGTTCAGAGTTGCCTGGACTGAACAGGAACACTACTAGTTGTATCCTTAATCATATAATATAGAGTTTAAGATGCCTTGTTTCCCGTGCCAGCTTTTGCCTGGTGAGTGTCTTTATCGAATCCAATTATCGGGATACTGTTTCATCACAGAAGGACCTTCTTGCGTGTCTCAAAATCCTCCGCTACAAGGCTAACCTGGTCCCTCCAGTTTTGTCTTCCACTGTCAAGGCCATGATCGTGCATGGTCTCGGATACTACTTCCCGTTCTGTCCGTGCATAGCAATGTACATAACAAGATAAACAACCCGAGGAGGGGGAGAATTCTCAAGCGGAGAAATATGCTTCTGCAGGGGTTGTTGCCTTCCCTACATAAACGCAAGGGTGAAGGATGATTTAGTGTTTTATAACGAGAAGATTGGCGGTTAGTATTTGCTCTAGAAATTCCATGAGAGTTCCCTAGGCTTCATAGTGTTGATAAATAAGTACATAGCGTAGACTAGGGTTGGATTTCCATCTTTATATGTCCAGCGAGAGCACAGTCTTTGGTACATTCTTCGGATCCGTATTGAGCTGGGTTAATCCACCCGGGATAGTAGGTAAGTCTATTTTAGACATTTATTATGCAATGTGAATCAGGGCTTTGAATTTCCTGAGGCAGAGGGGCACGAGACTAACAGCCATTTTTGGCAGTCCTTGACGTTGAACTTGAACTACAGTCTCGGAGATCCCAGCGACCTCCTTTCCCACTCTGATCTGAACAACGCACACTCGGGAGCAAGCAATGAGTATCATGGATGTTCAGTGACGCTGAAAGAAAGATCTAACATCCAACTGCGGGTTGCCTTCTTCGTCACTATCCCAGTGATCATCTTTTACTGTACATATGTTCATCTGGACGACAAGGCGAGCATGACGTATCACTTCCGATATAGGCAAGGGCGAATACCTGCTGTAAATTACGGTATTGGAGAGAACGCCATCGGGGTTCGGAAAATCTACTCCGAGTGGAGCCTCACCAATCAAAATCTCCCTTGGCAAGAAGAAAGCCCTGTGATTGGTGGAGGCCCTAAGCCTTATAAGGAATCTGGGTTCGGTTTCGTTCGACCGGACAGGCGAGAATACGATGGAAGAACCAAAGTAAGGCTAAGCGCCTGAGGAGCACATCGAATGCCTCGAAAACCCCGACCAGAATGCTGCATGGAATCCTCCTTGCGTCTTGACATTGAAAATTCATCCAAGGGCAATGGCAGCCTGCGCAATCAAGCCGGTTGGTCTTTGGGGTGCGTAAGAACCGGCATCATCCGTAGACCAGGTGAACATCTTCTATAGTAGTAGTATATTAATATCATCAATCATCAGGGTCTGGTCGGAGATAAGCAACAACAACAACAACAACAACAACAACAACAACGAGCTTTGTGAATCTCAACTTTTCGGCTCAACTCAAAGATAGTTGATATTTTTCTTATTCTCATATTCTCAACTTCGGTTGTCAAATCAATTACACAGCCCCATTGACGCTTTTTCTCCGTGGTTGGTGTGGTCATCGTCATCCGTCGCGCCTTGGCAAACATCATCCATCCCAACTTTGGGAATCATAAAACCAGCCAAGCCTCCTGTGTCATTCTCAGCTTCTCCGTCCTTGAAGCTCCGCTTGCTTCATTTTTCTTCCCCCCCCTTTTTTCTCTCTTCTTCTACACTGCCTTTAGGCTTCTTCCTGCCTTCCATTCCACTGTCACAACCAGTCCTGGTCCTGAAATACATGCGTAAGTGGTCGCTGGATACTGCTCTTTGTTTCTAGAAACCCCCCCCCCCCCCGCCCCTCCCCTATCGGTCCATTGTGGCGTCTCGAAAATTATCCGACTTTGATGCTGACAGCCTCCGTCTTTTCTATTATTACAGACCGTATTCACTCGTGGGCGAAAGCTCACGCGTTTAGTGGAAATTCACAACCTCAACCTCAAGCTGCAGCAAAGCCTCAACCCACCCGAGAGTTGGCGCAAGCATCAACTCGCCAAAATGGTCAAGTGAATAAAGAAGCTGGCAACTCGGCCAGCCCGGAGTTGCCAACAGATGCAGAAACTCAGAAACGGGGACTTATCCCTCGTGCTAAGGATGGAACCATCCGCTTCCTCAGACACACCAAGAATGCGCTCTGCCATAGTTGGGTCAATGTCCTGCTGGTTTTCGTACCTATCGGCATTGCTGTGGAAGCTGTTGGACTAAACCCTGCCGTAGTCTTTGCCATGAACGCAGTGGCGATCATTCCTTTGGCTGGATTGCTCAGCCATGCTACTGAATCGGTCGCCAGCCGTCTGGGAGATACGGTTGGAGCACTACTGAATGTCACCTTCGGTAACGCAGTAGAGCTGATTATTTTGTATGTTATGCCACTTCTATCTCTCTCTCTCTCTATTCGATTTCCATGCACTAACTTGACTATAGCATGTAAGTTTGCCTTTCTCATTTTCAGCAACAATTCTAACAGTACTGGCGCTCAGTATTGCCCTTGTCAAGGTAAGACTAGCCCATGCATGCGGATTTTATAGCGTCTCTAACGTGCGATAGAATGAGATTCGAATCGTCCAGGCTTCCCTTTTGGGATCTATTCTTGCAAATCTTCTTTTGATTCTCGGAATGGCCTTCCTCCTTGGAGGTCTTCGTTTTCAAGAACAAGTGAGTAACATACTTAGTCCTTGTGGTCCCAGGTGATAATAACCACTTTTCAGGTCTATAACAGCACCGTCACCCAAATGAGTGCCTGTCTACTTAGCTTGAGTGTAACTAGCTTGCTTTTGCCGGTTTGTGATATCCGACTTGCCTATTTCTTCATGGGCTAAACTTCAATTTAGACCGCTTTCCATGCATCCTGGTCAGATAGTACGGAGGCCAACCGGTACACCCTGAAAGTTAGCCGTGGAACAAGTGTGGTGTGTAATTGTCAGAGCTTTTCGATATTTCAGGTCTAATTTCTGTTACCAGGTCCTACTTCTTGTCTATGTGTTTTACATTATCTTCCAGCTCAAGTCCCACTCATATCTCTACGCCAGCGTACCCCAACAGATCATCGATGAGGAATCTCACCCAGGTGTTCTGGCTGAGTTTATGAATTCATCCGACTCTTCTAGTAGTTCTTCTGATGAATCAGACGACACTACAACCTCGTGGACAACGGCCAAGCGCATCAAGCGAGCTATGAAGTACCGAAGACACCGCAAATCGAGCACTAGCTCTCGAGGGACTTCCTCACCCGAGCTGTTTCGAAAGCCGTCTTACGTTGACGTGCCATCCATTGCCCAAAGTCGGAAACTGAGCTCTACCAGTGAATCAGTCCCTAGTCAGCGTGATGAGACTGGGTCACCTATTGTCGCGCTTGGCGAGGATGCTCGAGACAATGCCGATAATGACAACAATCGCCCAAATGGGCCTCACTCTAGAGACTTTGGCCACGCAACCAGCATCAAGTTTGAAGAGAACCAAAGAGAAAAGAAACGTGATCGGAAGAAGAGAAGAATGTCTCGCAAGCACGAAACCAAGGAAAGCGCGCTTTCTGATCCACAGCTAGACCCGGCCCTTCCTGGCCCTGCTATGGAGCTAGCTGCACCAGGCGGCCGTGTTGAGGGAGAGTCTGAACTTCCACGCAAGTGGTCTTCTCCATTTCGCCCAAACCTACCGAGCCGTTTACTTTCCAACACCGTGTTCGCTAGCCCTCCACCCGTCAGCGGCACCACGCTAGCTGATCCAGCAGGCAACTTTGGCAGTCTTCGTCGCACCCATTCTCTCCCGTCTATGGCGAACCGTCCTTCTGCCGGAAATCCTGTTCAGTTCGCCAGGGCCGCTGCCCGCATACCCAGCACGGTCAACAACAATGCGCCCCCCGAACAACCCCCAAAGCACGCCGAGCCTGAAATGTCGCGTACTGCGGCAGTTGTCATGTTGCTTTTGTCTACTGGTTTAGTGGCAGCTTGCGCTGAATTTCTTGTCGGTGCCATTCCTGACATGACTGCAAGCTCTCCCGTTAGTGAAGCGTTTATTGGTCTCATCATTCTTCCTATCGTCGGCAACGCCGCTGAGCACGTGACTGCTGTGACTGTGGCCACCAAAAACAAGATGGACTTGGCTATTGGTGTGTCGGTTGGAAGTAGTATTCAAATCGGTAAGCCTTGGTGACCAACCCAGTGTCTTAAGCCGGAACTAATTTTACTTGTAGCCCTCTTTGTCACCCCTCTGGTCGTTATCTTGGGTTGGTGCATGGACAAGGATATGAGCTTGTACTTCACCTTGTTCGAAACCATTTCCTTGTTTGTCACGGCCTTTGTCGTCAACTTCCTCATCTTGGATGGAAGATCGAACTACCTGGAGGGATTGTTACTATGTGCTGCATATGTGATCATTGCGTAAGTTCATCTCAGAGACCAGTTTGCGGGCCTAATGCTAATACTTTTGTAGGGTTGCATCCTTCTACTATCCCGGCGACAGTCAGTCCAGTAGCCTCGGAGCTGCTGGATAAGCCATTCATATTTTGAGGCTACGCTTGCCGATACTTTGCAAGTAAGCGGGGGTTCGCAGCAATAGTCTGCAGAGGTTCCTTGAATTGGTGACCAGATTGTCGAGTGAGATTATCTTGTGACTAGCCCATTCTAAGCCATAGCCCTAGTTACAGTACATATAAATTATGGATGCCGCTTTGACTATGTTCATGTATGTAGTTGCGTAGTGGATTGTATAAATACTCAAGCAAAAGACTCTCTATCAAACACCATCCTCATCCCACATCCGGCGTACGGTTATAATCCAGCAGGACTGCTCAAACTCCTCCAAATCGAACTTGAACGCAGCTGCGGAATTTCCCAAGATGTCAGGATTTCTCTGCTCATCCACAAATGATACGAGGAATGGCAGGAATAGCAAGTTTCGTCATTGTGTGGCTCAGCTGGGAAATTGGACAAGGGGTCTAGGTGAACCAGATAGGAAAGAAATGTGGCTCAGGCCAATGTCACAGCCACAACCCAGAGTGGCTACTAGATGGTCATGTAAAAAACCAAAAAAAAAAAAAAAGAAAGAAACAAAGAAAATGATTTCAGGGGTGACAGCACATATCCAGCGCTAAATGAGACAGAACTGCTTGTCTGTTGAAGCGAATAATCAACCAGTCTTTAGGATCCTCCTAATCGTGTCCAGTGTGGCTTGACTAGCAGCAAGTGGCACCAGGATAAATGTGGCTAATGTATATTCCTTGTCCTCCGATTGGGCAAACTAACAAGCCCGGAGCCACACCCATCAGCCTCTGTGTGGCGCCAAGACAACCCAGCGCTTCCGCCTGAGGCCACTATTGCTTTTAGTGGGGCCTCACTGGAACCTATCATAAATTCTCATCCAACTATAGATTGCTAATGAACTACCTAGGTATGTAATTGTACCTACTCTGTAACTGCTCCGTATACTCCGTGCTTGGGTAGACTATGTCCAACGGCCCTCCTCGGCTGCTTTGGACTCCTCGATCCGGGTCACCCCTCCATGATTCCCTCTGTCTTCCGGTCATTGTTGGCGCTGGACTTTCTGACAAGCTGCATCTGGATTTGCATCTTGCTGTGTTCTGTAGTCATTCAGCCCATTACAATCCTGAATAGTTGTAATTATAGCACCCCCGGCTGTTTTTTATGTGGTTGCCTAGTTTTTATAACTTATTACGGAGGTCCATGTCTCCACGCCTTCATATCTCCACGACGACTCCATAACAAGGTGCTGCATATAGGAAGTTTCTGTTCCCCTCCATTGCGTTCCACTTAATATATAAAGCCCTCCTCGTCATCTGCTTTCCTTGCTAAATCCTTCTTCTTCCTTGTTTCCCCTCATTCATTCTTTGTTGTTCTATATTCTGCGTAGCCAGTGCTACCCCACCATGGCCTACTACGGACAAAGCCCCTACTACGGAGGAGGAGGGGGAGGAGGAGAGCAACCTCGTCCTTACGACCGTCCTCCATATGGCGGTCCTCAACCTAATCAACCTCCACCTAATCATTCCCAATCTAATCATCCTCCATACGACCGCCCTCCCTCCGATCGTCCTCCTTACGATCGTCCCACCTACGATAGCCGCCCTCCATACGAAAACCGCGACCAATCCTACGGCAGCCGTCCTCCATATGAAAACCGCGACCAATCCTACGGCAGCCGTCCCCCCTACGAAAACCGTGACCAATCTCACGATAGCCATCCCCCCTACCAGGAACAACGCCACGATTATCCCCAGAACTCTCGACCCCCTTACAACAATCCTCCACCATCTGCCCGTCCTCCCGCCGTTCCTCCCCCACCCCTCCCCACGGGCTGGGCTCAAGAATGGGAATCCAATGTCCGCCGTGCATTCTACGTTGAAATAGCCACGGGACGGACAGAATGGACCCTCCCAGCTGAGGTTGTTGCGGGCGGGGCCAGAGGGGGCGATTATTATCGTGGCGCCCCTCCGGTTCCTCCTCAACCTAATATGCAGGGCCAGCCTCCTTACCAGGATAATACGCAGCGGGCGGCGTATGACCAGCGAGCTTACGACCAGCAGGCCTATGAGCAGAAGATGCAGCAGGAGAAGAAGAGTGATAAGAAGAAGCTGCTTGCTGTTGGTGCGGGGGCGTTGGCCCTTGGTGTGGCCGGTGGTGCCTTTTTGGGGCATGAGATAAGTAAGTTCTCCCTCGCTTTCTGTTCCGTCTTTGGTAAATCTGGAGGAAATAAACGACTAATTTTTGACGTAGCTGAACACCATGACGAAGAGCGCGAAGAAGAGCGCGAAGAGAGACACCATCACCACTCTTCGGATGACGAGGAACGTCATTATTCCGACCATGGGGATGACTGGTAAACTGTAGATATCCTGCCTTGTGGGAGTCATTATATTGTTGTAGTTAGCAGGCTTTTCGGATCTTAGCGATATTACCTCTCTATTCTATCTATAGGGTAACTTTAGAATCACACTTAGATTTATCCGTCGCGGAATTGACTTTTATCTGAGCTTTGCCTATGATGTCATTTTATGGCCGTTTTATTCTTGTATTTAAGATCTTTCCATGAGTTCTTGATTCACTATTCCTATATTATTTCTCTCTTTCAATTAATTACACTAACATCACCTTAATGATATATATATATATATATATATATATATAAATGCCTCGATATGTACATATACACCTTGACTCCCCGTTTCAATTGCACCATCTGACCAACCTTGAGTATCAGACGATCGTTATCCAATACGACACCCTGCAAGCCTACCAGCGCCATGGCGGAAACATGGAAGAACTGTGCGTTGCAGATTCCAATCATCTACCTACTAGTGCTGTAGGTAACTGTATATTCTTGTCTAACACTACTCATGCAGAACAAAACAGTCTTTCCTGGCAAAAGGCGCTATCGAGCAGACACTCTTCATCTCCACGCGAAGTTTACCGCCAATTCATACTACTTCGTACGCATTACTATACCTTGAGAGATTATATATAAAGTGTTGCTTATATCGAGCTAGGTTCTATGCACCGGATCATGTATGTTTGGAGGACTTGACGAGGGTGAATTTGGGTGATGGGGTGAGGTTTGATATACATAAGGAGGCATAGTATAGTATGCTACCTATCAGAGGTTTTGCTTTATGTATTCCATGTTTATGGGTTGAAGGTATAGTCTTTAAGGATGCAGTACCTTGAATATCCCTATAAAACACTTCCAAAGCCTCTCTACATATTAACCTAAACTTGCAATAAGATGTCATCAGAGCTGGACAATTTAGATAGTTACTTTTGTCTGGGTGTTGACACTCTGAACCCTCTAATTAGTTAGTTGACTTGTCTTATTTCTTGCCATTATCCCTAACCAGGAGAAGGGCTTATTTTATATGCTTTGTACGCAAGATGGGACAAAGCACATGTTGTTGCCCTAATAAAGGCAGCCTGGACAGGGGATGAATCAAGAAAGATAATCTCATTGCAATTGCTTTGTTACATGAATAAAGAGGTTGTCATCATCTTGTAAATTAAAGGAGATTTCCCAACAGAAGACGGATCCATGGTCTTTGCTAAATCTATATAAGAAGGCATCTGATTCCATCTACTATGACCACCACAGTCATCTGGATTATTGCCCTACTCTGCAATCCATCAAATCCCAAGCTTTCCCACATGGCTGACAGCTACACCTTCCCTAAGTGGGATGACTTTTCCTTCCCCAGATATGCTGGGTCCAGACTGGCCTCGCAGGTCGCCCAAGTGCTTGACACAGCTGGGGTCCCGAATGTTCTCTGGGGGTCCCTTGCGATGAATGTCCTGGGGTGCCCCGAGGTAGGAGAGGTAAGTAAACCTTCCCCTTCCCCTTCCCATATCCCCCAATTCAGTGATTAGACACTAATAGAAGACCAGGACACCCAGCTGATTATTCCCGACCGCTTTGCCCAGGCCGCAACTGATGCTATATCTGTAGCTGGTCTGAATCCCTGCCCCCACGGCAGCACCTGCGGAGTCATCAAGGGCCGCGACGAGCCCTACCCAAATACCCACTTCCACATCAACGAAGACGAAGTAACCCAAACTGTTGACTTCTATAGGAAATCCTCCCTGATCTGGTCTCTCCCCGACATGAAACCCGGAAACCCATCCACCAACGACAGAACCTACATCCTCGCCAGCGATGCGCGCCACCCAGTGTCCCATATCTGGAAGGGTGGCACGTCTTGCGGCTCCGGTCCATTTCCTAATAACTTCCCTCCGGTTAAGATCCTGACGAAGATTGCGCTGGTCGAGGCGCTGATTCTCCTCTGCTGCCGGGATTTTGATTCTAGGAACCCGCAGCGCGGAGTCTGGATTGATGCGCTGTCCTCCATGGCGACCTTTGTCGTCCGTGACCCGGACCCCAAGGAGCTGGATCCTCGGTTCTCGGTCTTCTGGAAGTGTATTAAAGAACGTGAATCGAAGACCGCTTGCGATATTTTGGGGGAGTTGAGGGCGGGGTTGCTTATGGCTGGGGAGTTGCCTCCTCCTCCTAAGCGTGCTGATGATTGATCAACGTGTATGATTGCTCTTGTCTCTTGTTGCTTTTCCATTGCTTTCCTCAGCTCAGTTTGTTAGTTATTTTGCTAGTTGCTAGTTGCTAGTTGCCAGATTGCCCCAAAATAACAGCTTAGTTATATGGATTCTCAATCCTCCAAGTTATCTGCACCTCGCTATAGTAGTCGGGATTTGCGCAATAATCATAATGCAGTGAAATCATTTCCAACATAACATTTCCCCATGCAGCAATCCAAACCATCCTTGCTCATCATCCACAAACCTTCTCCACCCGCCGGCAATCCGATCCAGCTCCTCTCTCGTTGCGAACCCCTCCTCAATCGCTGTCTTCGAAAACCCGGACGACGTCACCCTATCCGCCATGGACCCTCCCCAATACCTCCGCTCGTCAGGGGTACTGTAGCACCACGTCCCTGCACTCCGCTCCACACGATCACGCGCAAACCCAGCGTCCACCGCCCAGACATGAATCATGCGCCCCGGGTGCGGATTCCCGCCCTTGGCCCGCCCCATCCGCTCCGTCAACTCAAGCCAGGACCCGATCCCTTCGTTCTCAGGGTACCACGTGAACGACGCCGACTCGCGAGCAGCAACCACGCCCCCGGCGGGTTTCGCGACGCGTCTCATCTCCCCAAGCGCCTGGACCGGGTCCGCGATGTGCTGCAGAACCTGGTGCACGTGGACAACGTCGAAGCTGTCATCGGGGAAGTCCAGCGCGTGGATGTCCCCCACGCGGAAGTCGATGTTCGTCACCCCCCTCGAGGAAGCCAGCGCGCGCGCGTGCACCAGTGGCTCAGGGACGTATTCGATTCCTGTCACGGAGCCCTGCGGAACGAGCTGCGCGAAGTCCGTTGTGATTGTGCCCGGGCCGCATCCGATATCGAGGATCCGCATGTCCGGTTTGATGTGTGGGAGGAGGTAGGCGGCGGAGTTGGAGGCCGTGCGCCAGCTGTGGGTTTGGAGGACTGAGAGCGCGTGGTTTGTTGTGTAGACTGGCATTTTGAACTCTGTATGTGTGTGTGGCTTACTCTGTTGGGTTTTTTTATTGTTGTTGTAGGAGTTGGTGTTGAGATGAGTTCACGCCTTTATATACCGGTAGGTGTGGTCGGAACTCCGAGACATGCATGTCTATAGCATCACCAGCTCAAACAGCTTATAATGTGTAAATATAGGAAGATATTAAAACAAGTAATCAGGTCTTCTCCAGAGCCATTCCGTACAATACATATCATGTATATATCATGTTAATAACGATATTTGATCATATACTGGTATCGTAGAAGAATAAGATTTTTTATCGGAACTGTCAAGTAGGGATGGTATAAATCTGTCTCCCCCCCCCGCGTTCTCGGAGTTCCGAACTCAACTTTCCCCAGCGTCAAGGATGGCATCACCTCGATACACAGCAAGAACTCCAAGAAGGAAATGCAGCGCCCCGCCACGCAAAAAAGCATGCGGGAGTTGCACAAAATCTAAAGTCCGATGCGATCTCGAAAGACCCGCCTGTTCCCGGTGCAGATCGTTGCGTCGCGTCTGCCAGTACGCAACTCCGAGCTCTATTCCTCCACTTGCAACCCAGCACGAATCCACCCAGGGAGAGGGAGAAGAAGGAGAGCCCATAACTCCATGGATAAGCTCTTCAATTCTCGAGGCTGTGCAGCTAGATCCGGGGCTGGAAGCTGCAATCCCTCCTATCAGACCCGCAGATGACGGGCTGGATTTCACAAAAGTCGACCTCGTTCCTAGCCAGAATGCAGAGAATATTCGAGATCGATGGCTGAGACCGTACATTCTCCCCCCACCAGGACAAGAGGAGACTCCAAAGCTGTATAACCCCTTTACACTACAGTATATATCAAGGGTCTTGAGCACCTATCCCCATGTGATGCTAAAGGATGGCGATGTCCCGCCTATTATTCACCGCTGCCAGGTTTCTGGGCCCACAATGCCTGTTGCACTGGCCAATTGTTATAGCCTGGTACGGATGTGCATTCAAGCGGCCCCGGGCAGTGAGATGATGGTGGTGAGTACTGTTGAGAAAGAAATGGAACGACTGGCAATTGAGGTATGCATTCTTTTATATATATATATATACAAGGCTAATATACATCTAGACCTCTGGGCTCTACGACATTGAGCTTTTATCCGCTTTCCAAGCATACCTTCTTTATTCCATCATGCTGTATTTTTCACTACCTAGCGGAAGTTCCGCGGTAAATGACAAGACCATGATCACTCTCATGGAGATGGCCTTCCGGACCGCACGGAATGGTCTATTCAGCGCATCTGAAATATCGCATAGTCGACCTACTTGGGAATCATGGATTGTAGCCTCCACGAAACGTCGAGCCATCTTTACCATGTATCTGTTTAGTAGCGTGTATAACGCGGACCGATCACTCCCGAACTTCATTGCAGATGAACTCAGGGGAGTGTATGTGCCGGAAGGTAAATCCCTCTGGGAGGCTAGTGACCGCAAACTCTGGATGCGTGAGTATGATCGGCATCTGCTCAGCTGGGAAGACGGGATGTTCGAGATCTCAGAGCTATGGAAGTCGCCAGAGACTGGCTCGGCCGTACGACGAAAGCGAATTGAGCGATGGTTACGGACGGTGGACGAGTATGGGATGATGTTATTTGCAGTGTGTGCTCATATACATGGATGCTAACAGTTGTATTGAAGTTCCAAGAGTGAACCAAGTCAGGTTTAATTCAATGTACATTTTAGACTATATTAATTTGGAATAAGTGATTCCACGAGCCATCTTTGAGACCAGCAAGACTAGCCCTTGCTAGGGTAGTGATGTAGCAGGTATGAGTGCTATTCAGACTATGAATAGTAAACGTATCTAGGATTGAAGGGACCATTATCTTGCTTGGACCTTTGACCGCAGAAGAACAGTAAGGAATGAGAAAGGGTGGATATAATATCCACTTCTTTTGGATTCGAGTCTGCTGTACAGACTTCATTGCAACATACTTATTGTTTCGTCATATAGTGGAATAGGAGCCATGTCCCAGTATGAACTACTTGATGTCGACCCCGAAAGCGATCTCCAATTTGTACGGGATGATAGCCCCTGGCCGATAGTTCTCAAGTCTTTCAACCCCCTCAAGAGTCTCATAGATTTGAGTACTAGATCATCTTCAGTGGCAATTCTTTTGAACGTGGTGGCGGCAGCGGGCTTGGTTGCGATGGATCAGCATGCGCGGCTTAAGGACAGGAGAATCACTTTTGATGAACAGGTGTGACTTATATCAAGTGGATAATTCGAACGAGAGGAAGTTTCAACAGAAAAATGGGACGATTCCTTTATCCTGCGAGTTGACTTGTTAACGCGAGAGGCATCATTTTGGCCAGAGCCAAGTGGACACACTCCGTGAAGCCACTAGCACTTTTGCAGAAGATGATTGGTTATTATGATGCATTGAAATTCCGCACCCGAGGGACAGATCTGTGCTAAAATCTCTGGAATGAGACGATAACAGTGCTGGGGACAATCCGGGTACATAAGGCAAAGCAAGACTTTCACAACAGTGTAGAACTGTTCTATAGGGCGCCTCTATGACTGCTCGAAGCGGCCTGGAAGCAGGCGGGCGGATTTTACACAAATCCATACCCAGTCCCTTGAATTCAGGACTGAGCATTCAAATACAGGTAGCCTTTGGTCGGTGGTGCGTATACAAGCACAAGGTTTATATCCTGCATTCATTCCGCATAGTAAACCGTAATGCGTTTTATTTCTCGCGCTATTCTAAGACCCGTATCAGGTCCGTCTATATGCATTGTGAATCCCAGCTCAGCTTAATAACTGCTTTGGTTATTCCAGTACGTCGTGCCGGATTGAATCTCTTCTCCCTGAGTACCAAACTCCCACCCCAGTTTCAATTGGACCCATTGCATCAGATGGCTGGCGACCTTGATGTGTCCAATGTCAGTGGGATGGTTCAACGGGGCGATGTCGTTGTGTTGGAGGATGCCTCTGGTATCGAAGTAATGCACGAATCCCGCTTTCTGAAAATGCGCCTGGACTTGCTGAACCGCGGATTGATACATTGGTCTTTGGATGTATGTATCTCTGGACCGCTCAAAGTTGCCCCAAAGAGACTATAACAAGAGGTTAGACAGACAGCCCTGGCTTCTAGAGTTGGACGCTTTCTATTTCTCATTACATACCATGAGGACAACCTGCGCCTCGGGCCACACTTTGTGCACAGTGTTTATCAGCTCCACGTAGCTTGAGACGAAGTGGTCTCCCGGGATCTCATTCGGGTATCTGGCATCATTTGTACCCAGATCAATCACAGCCAAGTCAGCCGATTGCTGAGAAGTGAAGTTCCATGGCTCAGGGTTGTCTCCATAGGCGGTTTGGGCACGGACTCCTACGTCGGATGTGTAATACCATGCATATGTCTGGAACTGGGGTTAAAAGCTCTGCAAAAGGCTGTTGAATGGAAGGGACAATAATACCATGCCACGACTGCTCCCGTTATAACATTCTCTGTCTACAAGACAGATCCCGGGATATGCCTGACGTGCCGTTAGTGAGTGCGATTTAGAATCCAAAGTTTGGGATCGTACAGTGATAGAATATTCGACGTTTCCCAGGCCCGCTGCAAAGCCAAATGCCCATCCAGAAAGTCCTTCATAGGTACCATGCATTCCACTTGCCAGGCTTTGGTTGTTAGACCAAAGAAAATTTCGAGCAATTTCAAGAACTTACGAATCCCCGATTATCTCGACACTCTTCTTCAAATTGGGAACGGCAACAAGCTTAGAGCCTTCCGTGACCGAGATACCGGTTATTTGGACTGTGTAGGATATCAGCAGACGGACTCTTTCTTTGCAATGCTTGTACTTATCCGTAGCCCCAATTTGTCACTGAAGCGTGTCAGTCAGCAACCAGGTCAAGAGAACCAGAAGAGCGCGTACCTCGTAACTCGAATGTCTTATTCTGAGCCTGATCGGTCTCATTTAATCCAGGAGTCCACGGCCCAATGAATTGGCAGGTTGAATCAGCCGTTACATTCGAGAACTGCCAATTCATTCCTCCCAGTCTGTGGTGGTAGCCATTAGTCCTATCACACGACACATCAAGCAAACTCCCTTCTTACCTATATGCAACGAGAACGCCGTCGCTGGTGTTTTGTCCAAAGCCAATTGCAAGCTGGATGGGTTTAGTTTCAGGGCTGTGCTTGCAATGTAAATGGATTTGCATACCTTCTCGCCGGTAAACGCGAACTTAATACCTGGGACTCTGCACAGGTTAGTGCATGCATAATAATACCTAGAAGCCTAACAATTCTCACATACGACCACCCTAGACAGACATTTAGTTAGCCTGAGAATAGAGCGCTAGAGGCGAAACTGACAAGACGTATAGTAGCTATCCCACCGGCCTTTGTATGAGATCTCTGGTGCATCGCGAGTATAGTTTCTCCAATTCCCATCAAGCTCAATAGTCACAGCTTGGCCGGGATATGGATTCTCTCGGACCTGGCCGTTTTGGAGAATTGTTGCAGATACCCATTGAGACCATGAGATGAACGCGAGAAGCAGCAATGCTAACATATTTCTTTATTCAAACTTGTTTGAACACTCCTTCATATATGCCGATGCTTGCGAATACAGTGTTGTCGTCGTTTCCCAGACTATCTTGAGACATATGCCAAAATAGATCCGCAATCTGTAGCTCGCTCCTTCCTTGATGATTCGGACTCTCTTGAGGTAGCCAAAAGTAATTCAATTCTTTAAAAACCGTCCCCTTTTGTTCTTCATGCACCCGAGTTCCTGACAAGATGCTGTATGAGGCGCAAAGGGCGGAAGCAGTTGATAGTTCCGCTCTATGATTCATTACCGGATTCGCGGATGTTACTCTACTGTACCGGCCGGAGCCTGGTTCCTCATTGACGAGGGTAAATATTTATGTCAGGGCTCGGGGTATAAATATATTAAATTATAATTTTATACCTGCATTGTTAAGGTGTCTTCCCTTGACTGGCTGCATCATTTATTATCCAACTTCCAACGATAACAGTGAATGATCAAAGCTCTCTTCACTTATGTTTATTGGTATTTGGGCATTCTTTATCTAGAAAGCTACTAGCCTGGAGTCCAAGAATACATCTTTGGGTACAAAACTGCACAGGACCCTGCTGGGTATTGTGAACATCTGATTGATTGATCGGTTGACTCGAGATCAGCAGCTCGATCCCGATCCTTCTCCACGCGTTCCTATTCGCCTTCCGCCTCTTTTCTTACTGGACCTTTCTTTTGCGCTCCTCCACTTTGAAAGAGTGATTGTTGGTGATGGAAGCCTATATAATTCCCTATGGATACTGTGTAAGACCCAAAATCCGACCTTGGTCATGTTCAATGAGTGTGATTGACAATATAAAATGGCATCTTTCTTATTTCCCTTTCCCTAAACCACCTAACCCCCCCCCCCCCCCCTGAACGAGGTTCTCTCTGCAAGCACAATGGCAAGACAGCCAAGGACAACTTCTTCCAGCATTCCTTCTTCCCCTTCGTCGAACTCCTACACGTAACCTGAAGAGTCCTTCGAAAGTTTGATAGTGAACATGCGAGATCCGCTTCTGGGCGTGGGATTGGTTTAGCTGACCCCCTAAGTAGACGTTGAAAGATGGCGGAAGGTAAAGCTTGCGTTGGAAGAATGAAAGGCGCGGAGTGCAATACGTTGGGCTGGAGGTTACTTGCTGTCCCGCCGCCAGGGTGAATTTGGATGCAGAAATGGTGCCCATTTGTCCCAAGAGTACTCTAATATCTTTGATATTAATGAGGGATATTCCCTGAAGATAGGTAGAGACGAACGCTTTTGAAGAAATGAAAGACGCGATAGGGTCCTTGTAGTACCGAGGCGTCAGGATCTTCAGTGTTGTTCGTGTCTAATAGTTCCAGGTCCATGATTCTATTAAACAGACCAAAAAAAGCATGAAGATAGGGAACCCGCCTCTTAAGCCATGTTGGACCATAGTTATTTCTTGAACTGCGTTATTTATCATCGGGAAAGACGCCACTTAGCGCTAACTATAATGTCTGGTGATCGGTTTCATAGGCTTTTTCTCATTGGGCTCGCAACGGCGTGTTTAATATGCCAAACTCGACCAGGAACTAGTATGTAAAGGCTGCATCCAGCAACTGCCCAACTTGCCTGGCCGGGCACGTACGACGTTCTCAGGAGCAGTCCGAAACTCCACCGCCTCAAACTCCACGACCTCCCCTCCTCGTGTCCTGAACTTTAATAAAACTTCTCGGGAACTCTTTCACCAGACTAGACCGTCATATTCTACGTGCTTTCCTCGGTTCGATTACGCTCGCTTGTTGTGATCTGCCCCCCCCCCCCGACCAACCAGCAGGAAAGCATGCCACTCTTATCCCTTCCGTATGAACTACTGCAATTGATAGTCGAGTATCTAGACGCCCAGAGAGACTTGAATGCACTTGTAAGAACTGGCCACGCTCTCTACGATAACTTTAACGGGTATCTCTACCGTTGCAATGCAAGGCGCTTCAACCGGACCGCGTTACTTTGGGCTGTGCGACACGGCCACGAAGGCACCCTGGAGAAATCACTCCGTGAAGAACCATATACCGAGATACGAGATGAAAGCCGTCTCACGCCTCTATTGCTTTCCGTCAAACTCGACCGCCTGGGGATCTTCCACCGCCTTCTTACAATGCCCGGCGTGGATCTCGAGGCGAGAGACTTGGTTGGACGCACGCCCATTGCGAATGCAGCATACCTAGGGCGCGAAGAAATGGTTCGACTGTTGCTTGCGAATAGCGCGGACCGCGAAAGCAAAGACTCCGATAATCAAACCCCCCTGGCACTGGCAGCTTGCGAGGGCCGGGGAAGGATACTGAAGCTGCTCCTGGACAATGGCGCCGCCTTGGAAAGTAAAGACCGCCTGGGCCAGACAGCCGTCTCGTGGGCCGCTGAATGCGGACAACTTGCATCCGTTCAACTCCTGCTGGCAAGGGGCGCGGCCGTGGAAACGAGGGATAGCAGCGGGCGAACCCCGTTATCGCTGGCCGCAATGAGAGGCCATGATGCCGTTATGAAGACGCTGCTTGATGCGGGGGCCGATCCCGATTCCATGAGCGACAATGGGTGGACCCCAATATTTTGGGCGGCGTTCTACGCCCACGAAACTGTAGTCGCACTTCTGCTTGAGGTTGGAGTTGACCCGGCCTCCAGGGACAGCCGTGGCTTGACGCCAGAGTATCTGGCAAGAAATACGCGTGGAAGTGAAGCCCGAGGTACAGCAGTGGCGAATTTACTTGTGAGAAAGGCTGGCCGGAGTTTTATGCAGCCAGCGTTTCGCATGATACCAGGTTGAAGTGCTAGGCAGTGAAGGGGATGAATGATGCCGTTGTCTGCGTGTTGACAAAATGAAAAAAAAAATTAATATGGAATTCTATCTTCTGGCCTTTACAAAGCTGGGTTCAATCAGGGAGTAATCAGTCAGAGAATTCTATAGCTATACTATGGGTGACAAGGAATAGGTCCAGTCTCTTGGGATTTGATACACAAAACATAGCTAGCGAAGTGAATGTTATTAGGTTAACTCGGGGAAAATATAAATGGTTATTATTCTTGACCGGTTGCAAGGAACAGGCCAAATTATTCATGGGCCAGTCCCTGCATAGTAGGCATCCCATGAGAACCAGTCGAACATGCCATCGAACGCCCGCCTGCGAGTCTGAGAGCTCCTCCTTCCATGACTGTCTCTATCGCCTGCAGATCCCTGACCTCCAAGGTCAAACATTGGCCACGACGCGTCAATGTCAGTAGGCAGCCATTCTAGATAGCTAGCAACATCTGGATCGCTCATATCACCATTAGACAGCGCTTCGCGAGCGTGTCCGTAGCCGGTAGCGATCTCGTTCATTGTCTGCGGATCGCAGCGCCGTGATGTCGCCTTGTTAGCCCCGTCAAGGTGCGGCATATCATGGGTTTCTAAAGATCTATCAAAATTGCTACCAGTGTCAGTCGAAGCATGATGACTGGCCTGGAGTTGTGCCAGTTCAAGGAAACCAGCCGCGACGTGCTGCAATCTGGAACAGATCGGAGCAAGCAAGCGCATCTGCGTCCGCATATTTGCGAAATAAGCCACAGTAGTGGCTAACAGAGCGAGATCTTGTTCGATTGTCGCTGGCGTGGAAGAGTTCTTGCGGTTGACGATGTTTTCGAATACCACGAAGAAAGGAGTGAAGGGATAATAGAGCAGTTGCCTTGACCATCAATATCAGTTGCTGAACACTTGGCAAGACAGTGGGGGAAGGATATCTCGCGGTCACATACCAGACGACTCCGTTATAGAAGGAACTCCAATTCGAGACCATAGAAGTTAGGAGGGAGATAGCCTCGCGAGCAGATGAGAGGCGGAGTTCTGAGTAGGCCTTGTCGCCTTTCAGCAGGATAATGAGGACGTGCAAATACTGGATCTTGATGCTGCTGATTCCTAGTGTCATCTCTCGAGACTGCCTGGAATTCGCCGGAACCCTCTCACGATTCATAGTTTCTGTCAGGGCCTGGTAAAACGAGTCAGGAAAGCCTCGGGTGTAGTAGGGTCAGGTAGATCAGGAGAAGGGAATCAACCTGGTTTGTTTCCCTATACCAAGTATCGAGCTTGTGCCAAATATCTCTCTTCTCTGTGACCGACCCGCTGGTAGCGAGTAAATCTAATATAATCCCCGTTAATCTGGCGAATTCAAGATACTTCATGAAGACTTGAGCGCCAAATTTGGACTCTTCCGAAGCGGCTTGTCCGTTTCCCGAGTCCGCTGTTTGATGGGGATGGAATCTCCGTAAGAAATTAGGGTCTGGAAGTGGAACATCGCTATACAATGCTGTTGGAAGAAGCGCTGGACGGCCAAATGCTAGCGAGCAAGATTTCTCGATCATGAAAATGAGCCAGAAAAGGCACAGTCGCTGTTGCTGTCGCGACTCTGAGAGCTGGGGAGCAGGTGCATGCAGCCCCAGAGCCTCCGCCTGCCGACAAGCATGCCCCAGCAGCATCCACGATAAATGGGGGGCGGCATAGTCCTCGCCATGAATGGCCAGCAGCAGTAGTGCCTGTACGTTAGATTCGCGTGGTTCCATGAATATGCTACTGTCATTGAGCGCTAGCCGTGCGTTATGGCGAAATCTGGCGGTCTCCTCGCCTTCACCCTGCTCTGCCGAAACAAGCGAAAGCAGGAGGTAGTTAAAGTGTACTATCCATGCCCTTTCCTGGACATTTTGCGGTTCAAACACAATCTTCCGTATGATATCATCCGATGGCGTCTTGAAGAATGGCTCCCCCAGCTCGGAATGTTCCAAGAATTCTAGTAAAGGACGAATTTAGTTTCTTGGGTTATTTGACGGGGATGGATGCGGCTTTACTGCTAATCAACTGGTATCCTGCTGGTCTTGACGGCACATAAAAACCTGCATTACTTTCCCCTCCACGTAGATCGACTTGCGATGTGGTCAGGCTATTGGAGAGATCCTGTAAGCCCGAGTAGGCGTTTTGGCGAGTGACATTCCCCGGTTGGTGACGGCTTGCCTCAATGTTAGCCGGCGTCTCCCTCAAAAAGGAGAAAGAATGCGACTGTCCAAGGTAAAGCCTTGAACCAGCTGGGTTGCTCTCCACTCTTACTGGCTGCAGAGCCAGATTTGATTGTTGATTACGACCAGTTGTCGAGGACGCAGGGGAGATGTCCTGCAAAGCGCAATTGACCGAGTGAGCCAACTGTTGCACCGTCTTCTCAAGGTGCTGCAAGCGGTTCTCGATATCGCCTTGCGTCTCGAGGCTTCTGGCAGAAAAAAGTTCAGTCAATCTCCTCCGTATGAATTTCGCGATGTTGGAATCTCACGCATCATTGATTTTTGGCAGGCCCAAAGACGATATGTCACGCGAATACTCACAGCGACTCGGCCATGGTTTGCAAGTGCTGCACTTCGGTAGCTCCCGGGAACATCTACAAAAAGGTTAAACGAATTATTTTTTTTTTCCCTAGACCCTAAAGCAAGAGAAGTACTTGAGCTTTTTCAGTCGGCAAAAGTCACACTATGCCCGTTAGTGAAGCCGCGCTAATCATGGGCTTGAGGGCATTGCCACCTACCGCGAATCGAGCAAGCTCCCTTCTTACCATGGACGACATACTTGCCTCCATCAGCAAGGACCTCCGGACTCATCCGGCGCATAAGAGCGAAATGAATCCCTTATCCGATGGTGGTGTTGTATTGTATTATGCGAAAAACATAGGGACTGCGAGGGAAATGGCCTACGTCGTCCGAATGTGAAGAACCTGATAGGCTCAGTCCGGAAGCTCCGCGCTGAACCAATGAAAATGGTCATTATCAGAGTGGGCCGCTCTGCAAGTACTATGAAAAGGAAACACGAGGATTGGAGAAATGTATCCTATGTCTATCCAAGCTCGGAAACAGATCCGAAAGCTGTCCGGTCATGTCCAATAGAGTCTCGTATCAAAGGGCTTGCTTCTCCAGTACTGCGCGGGAGATGGTACGTCTGTGAGCTAACCGCAGATTCCAATGGACCCCCATTTGACTATAAAAGGATTTGTTCTGTCTGGGCGTATTCTTGATTGTCTCTGTATGTCAGACATCTTCTTTCTTCCATTCTATTAGCTCAGAGCATACATTAAGCCCGTGCTCAGAATGGAGCAATCGCCATCTATCGCGATCATTGGAGGTGGTCCCAGTGGGCTGCTATTCGCCCGGTTACTCGAGCTGAACGGCATCAGCGACTATGTCGTTTTTGAACGTGATCAGTCCAGCGAACAACCGGGCCGGTGGCAGCAAGGGGGCACACTTGACCTGCATGGGCCCTCCGGACAGCTTGCACTCAAACGGGCCGAATTGTTTGAGAAATTCAGCCATGATTTTGCTCGATGGGATGCCTCAAGTGTTCGCATTGTTAACCCAGCTGGGGCCACAGTGGCTCTCCTTGGGGAGAACCGCAACGCCCCTGAAATCGATCGTCTCCAGCTGCGTCAGCTCTTGCTCGATTCAATCCCTGCGCATAAGATCCTCTGGGGCCACGCTGTGAAGTCCATTGAGAGGAAGGAGGAGAGCGACAGCGAGAGAAAGGACAATGGGTGTATTGTTCATTTTGTTAATGGTGAATCCGCGAGCGGCTTCCGTCTTCTTGTTGGCGCTGATGGAGCCTGGAGTAAGGTTCGTTCTTTGGTAAGTGTGCTTGCGATACTTGATCGTTCCGCGTAATGTTTTCTTGCTTCGGAGCATACATAGCCACTAATAGTTTGATGTGTAGCTCACAGCAGCAAAACCAGTATATTCTGGCAAGATGTTCATTGAGGGCTACTTATCACACGACAACCAGAGCTATACGGCGGCTAGGGAAATGGCAGGCGCAGGAAACATGATGGCAATGGGTCACCACAAGAAAATCGCGGTCCAGCAGGTCGCTGACGGCACGTATCGCGTATACTTTGGGCTATGTGTTCCAGAAAGCTTCTATGACCACCGGGACTCAAGTGGAGAAGTGAGTGCGAGCTGTGAATCCAGTAAATCCGAAACCCTACGCCGCCTGTTATTATCCTCAAACGACTTCTATGCGAGCTGGGCGCCAGGGCTCAGAAGATTTATCGAGAACTCCGAAGGTCCCTTCCGCGCTTGGCCGCTATATCGCATGGAACCGGAGGCAGTCAGTTGGGAGCGGAACATAGCTCCCGCGGTAACATTATTAGGAGATGCAGCCCACGTTTCGACCCCATTTGTTGGCGAGGGAGTTAACTGTAGCATGAATGACGCCGTTGTGCTTGCAGATTATCTGGTAGCGCACCTGGGAAAAGGTGCAATCCTTGCCAACGTTGAGGAGGCAGCGTTAGAAACGGTTCTCGCTTCGTATGAAGAAGACATGTTTGTCAGGGGCCGGGACTTAATTCGGCGCAGCATGGAAATCGAAGAAAGAATATTTGCTGATGACGCTGTTACATTGCTTTTAGAGCTCTTTAATGGCGGTATCGAGAAGTCAGGATATGTAAATCCGGCCCAGCAGAACTAAGAAGACTTAGGAGAGAGGGATGCGTTCATTTTTTCCCCATAACTTTCTCGTCTCTAGGAAATATTGTACTCGGATGTATAGAGCACTGCTATCCTCTTAAACCCTTACCCCGAAGGTGTGTTTTGTCTTGATCACCAGTAGTTTCGGTGTCTAATATTGCTTCATGTCATATCTGTAATGATTCACTTCATATAGGGATTGAGCTCGTAAAATACACTATATATATTAGGTGAACCTCCCTAGCTTATATCTCTAGAGTGACATCTCAAATGAACCCATGTATATACTCCACGATGTGATTTCTATACTTGTCAGCCGTTTTGTGTGAAAGCTTCCCCCCCCGGACTGCGCCAGGTAGAATAGAGGCAATAGAGAAAGAAATACACAGATAGAGAAAGAAATGAATTTCAATAGTTTAGCCATCGAGGCATATTTGCGAGCACGCCGTGTTTCCCCGCAAACTGATCTATCCTGGAATACCCACTGCGCCATAATCCGCCCTGGTATTTATTCCCATGTCGTTAAACTCGTAACAATCACTTCAGAACCTCCACAACAATGTTAGAACCCAGGGGCCGTATTTATATTGGGAAACCGTTCGAAAGATCCCCTTTGGTTCCATGAATCTTCCATCTCGACGAAGTATGGTTGGCTATTTTCTGCAGCCGGGGGCACTCCGACGCCATATCCCATCGATGAAGACTCACAGCCAACCATATCTGAGCTGGCGGTCCCGTTTAAGAGTTGTGGCGGCCAGTAGCCCGCAAGTTGGCCGGACACATCAGGTTGGACGAAAGGTAGGGGAGCGTCGAAGTCGAGATTATTCATAGGCATGTCTGGAATGGTGGCCATGTAGTCCATGGCAGACAACTGAGGTGTCGATGAGAGAGAGCAATAGGAATATGCATCCTGACTGGCCTCGCGACTAGTCTGGCCATTCTGGATCGTAGGGTTCGAGGTTGGGGGAAGTTTGGTTCGAGGTACATCGAGCAACGAAGAATCACAGCAGGGCCGAACAGGTACTGCCTCGGTAATCCTCCGGCTTAATATCGTGTATCTGAGGTGACGTGCCTACATTTAAACCTCTGTTCATAGTGAAATAGAATGGGTGTGATGGGCTTACTGGTTCTTGATGTTGTTTGCCGATCGAGTCGGGAAATGGTACTTTTGAATGTCCTTCCAACTGCTTCCGTGTGTCTTGACTGCTGCTAAAAGTAGTTGATTCTGTTTTCCATCAATGTTTGGCTCTTCCTGTTGTTGATTTTGGGTTTCGTTGCATACCTCATGGTCTGTCCACGGACTCCTCTCTAGCTCCGGATTCAGGCAGTGGTGCCAGCGCTTAGAACACTCTATATATACTGTCTGAGTGGCATGGACTTCAAGGGGGGTATGATGGTCAGGTTGACTTACGGTCTGCGTTCCTCGTCTCCATCTTTTGCGCTATCATGGCCCATCTGTAATTATATCTCTCGACTAGAGCCGTTAACCTTTCATCTTCTTCTGGGGTCCAAGATCCCTATAGCAATCGATTAGAACCCAAGATACCCATGTTGAGTCAAATGAACTAACTACCTTTCGCAGTCCTCCTGTGAATCGGTTGTAGTATCGTTTCCGGCAGTCTTTATTACTCCGTCCAGGAATCTGTCGGGCGATTTCGTTCCAGTTGACCTTTCGACATTTGCCGGTAGGCACTATCGCTGTCTGTCAGTGATTCATCATTCCCTCTTCCAGCGAGGAAGACGATTTGAATACCCTTTTCCTGTATCTGATAGAGTTCCCAGAGAAGGGTATCCTCCGTAGCGGTCCAACGTCTGCGTGCTTCTCCCATCTTGTCAGATTTAAATCGGATCCGGCCGTTAAGTACAGTGCAGTTGGATCAGACAGGAAAGTCAAGCTTTGATAATGTGAAGATTTAGTGAAAAGATGAGCCCATGCTGGAATTAAAAGGATTGCTCGAACTTGACCGTCGGTCAGACTAGACTGCGCCACGCTCTCAGCAATAGAGCAGGATCATTAAAATCATGCATAGCGCAAATCATCTGAGCCATTTACGAACTCTTAGCAGTCGAGTTGCGACCTTACGAGAGGAGAGAAGTAAACTGTTCTGTCTGGGCGCCGGCAGGCAGAGATCCCCACCTTCACAAGACCCCGATAATGTGTGCCCGTTGTTGCGTTTCACTCGTCCATTGGACCTCTTTACGAAGGAGAATTCTGGAGATATCTGGAGAAACCAACATCGTGTCAGCTCTTACTTGATCAGCCGCAGCAGCGGAAGATCCTCACGTAAGGCCGGCCACGCTCGCATGGCAAGACAATGTTTGTTAGAATTTTCTACACATAATCGCCCGGTAAAATCCAAGAAGTCGGAGGGTCTCCCAGTCCGGGCCAGGGAGCCAGGGAGCCAGGGAGCCTGCAACTCAAGCGACTGCAAGTATCGACGTTAGTCCTGGTACGGCTGAAACGGCGTGCATAAGACGATAAGAGTGCGCGTCGAGAATACCTCATTCGGAGAACGGCTGGACTCGCATACAAGGGAATTTCTTGCCTTGGCAATGCACCCCTACCATTACCCTTGACAAATTGTCTCAGGTTGTGGGCTGAGTCGAGAGATGTCCTGCTCTGAGTGCTTGAAAAGCTTTTATGCCAGCGGAGAGTTGGTGCAGATCGCTGCTCTACATGCCTCCTTGATTGGTGTACTCGAATACCGCCAGGTTTAACTGGACTAACTCGAAGGGACCCTATAAGACTGTTTAGGGTATTAATAGGTGACACGGTCAGGGAGATCAGGACCTCCCCCCCCCCCCCCCCTCCCTCCCCTTCTACTTCTGTATCGGTGGCCGCAACGTGGGCTCATCTTGCTGGAATGTGTACCGAACGTTGATCAGTGGAAGACCCCCGTAGAAGGTTAATTTGAGTTCTCAACTTCCTTGTATTTAGGTATAACAGGGCAGATTTGAAGGGGTCCCCTTTTTTTTGGGGTTTCCCTGGTCTGGTGAATCTTCGGGCATGCAAAGAATGATGCTTAGTCTTGACCATATTGGTTACTCAATACAGTCTAGTTGTCGCAATACCCTAGGTCTGTATGTATACTCGAATACTACACCAGGAGGAGCCACAACGTCACTTTTGCCCCTTGCCCAGGAAAATGACCCCATTTAATCTCCCAATGAAGCCCGGTCTTTATCCGCTTGCTATCCACGGCACTAACAGACAGTTGTATTTCGATCAGATGGCATACGGCTCGAAATTCCCTTGCCGCGTCAATCGCAGATATCACTAATCCCGTCATCTCGCATCCAGAATTCTTCAATGTCGATTTGTCCGGGCCAATTGACAAAGATATTTGCATCTAAGCTTTAAGTCATGGAGTCTATATTTAGAACCGCTCTGGTTGTGGCGATTCTGATTAGCAACACCACCTGTGCATTTCCCCGAAAGCACAACAGTCGAAATATGAATATGGGTAGAGACGGAAGTATCTTCCGCTGGGGGTATTTACTCGATCGAAAATCCTGTGAAGCTGGCTGGCTGGCACTGTTTTTTTTACTGGAATTTGAGACCACTCGCTGCTACGCTGTGCAACCAGAGGGTGGCCCAGCGAAAGGGATTATCACACAGAGGCTTGCTAGATGAGAGCTGAGGGTTTCCTTCGTGTGGTGACACACCCCTTGACACAAATTACCAATCCTTCTTGTATATCCCTTGAGTTGACTGACTCCCTCCAAGCGGGATAAATACCCATTTATCCATCTTTGTTATTACGCTCCACTGCTTGGCTTCGGCTGTACGGAGTACCGCTGGAAGTGGCCAAACAGCAAGAATTTCGAACAATCTTCTGATCTAGCATTCGTCTTGAGGACGATAGTCAGGTATTTCCATTCTGAAAACATTTGCCTTCAAACCTGAATCACACCCATGTCACCAGCCGAAGTCTCTTCTTGCCTGGAGCAATTAATACACCACACTGCTGGAAAATGGAGTTAGAGTACAGAACGATACCATAGGATTAATATGACTATTGTTTGAGAATGTTTACAGCAAGGTATCCATTTAGCTGAGCATGGGTAGAAGAGGAAACTGTCCCTGTTTACGTTGTCTATCAGCCGGTCACGATTGGTCTAGTGCTATCCTCTCTATGCCCTAGTCTCATCTCAAGCAAAAGAAACAACATACAAGTTTTTTACTGCTCGTGTATGAGCGAGATATTCTAACTCAAGCAAAGTAGGCTCCGCCCACCCGCAACAGTCTCTATATTCATATTCTCTGCTTCTGCTCGACAATAGCCCGAGCAACGATAAACACGATGCTATATTGCATGTAGCGCAATAGAAGGGTATGAAAGGGCAAGATAAATCCTCCCCAGCCAGAAAATATTTACGCTTCAGAGACCTATCATGATACTGATACCTTTTAAGGTTAGCAACACCTCGTGCCGAGCAGCTTCATCGAGCCTCATCTGCCTCTCTCCGTCGATCTCGATATTCAGCCCTATCCGTACGGTGTCGTTGTTGGCACGCCAGCAAATCCTGTTTCACCCGGCCAGTTTGGATTTCGCAAGGTTTCGGCCGAAGCAAATAAAATTGTGAAGGGGTATTGAAAAGGTATGGAAAAGTCGAGGCTAGGATCGCCAGCACGTTTCTGACCAAAATTTCGGTTCCTGAGTATAGGTAGGTAGGCTCCACCTCAAGGATAGGTTCATTTTACGCGGGGAAAGGAAATCCAACGACACGGAATGGAACATCTCTCCAGGGGTCATTTAATTCGACTAGGTGTTGTTGTATCCACATGGGTTCCTTCACTTGCCTGGGTTGTTAAACAGCGTACTATTGGAATTGGCGTGGTTTCGCAAAGAAGACCGAGATAATCGAGGTAGGTCTCTATGGACAATATTTCCTCTGAAATAGCACAGAAAGTCTATCCCACATTCTAGGGGCCCCTCAATTATGCGGGCGAGCCGCATGATGGGCTTTTGACCGCTGCGTATAAGTCGTATGACTTCAAAAATGCCTGTTCAGGGTGCGATCAGCAACAACTCAACTATTCTCACGGAAACCTGAACTACCCCCGGATACTAGGTAGCCAAACATCGTATCTGGATTGGGTATAGAGTAGCTTCGGTTTCAAAGCAAACGGACTTTGGACTTTTGCTGATTCATCGCGTATTCCTACATTCCACATGGGATATCCTAACGCAATGAAAGTATAGTAGGTCGTCGTATCGAATCAACCCACGGCGCAGGCATGCTGCCTCGCTTGCAGATGCCTCCGCGAAACGCCAACCACTAGCATCATCCATAACCAATAAAAAAAAAAAACAGCTTTGCTTACTCCCGCGTTGGTGAATTCCAACTCCTGTCGGCATGTCAACATTGAATACCTGGTAACGCTTGCTCGACCCGAACACGAATTGCCAGACCTTGAGAATCAGCACTATCGTTCTGAAAGAAGTCGAGGGCTTCGCATAAGTGTAACAACCACATGTACCTGGTTGAGCGGGGCGTATGTTTCCATATGATGTCTGGTTAGGGCTGTTCCCGAGAAACTCAACTCCGGTTTACGACACGAAGGATCCACGCGCTTAAAGAAGTCAATTTGTAGGGCCCAAAAGTAGCCATATCGTTACCCTTTACCAAGACTTCGAGCACGCTTACTAGAATATTCTATTTTCTATTTTCTCCGGATTGAGTCTTTGTGGGATGGGGTGCAGTTTTATCTGGCTGATTGAGACCTCCACTACATTATGATTTACTATCGACCGCACAGGTCGATATTCACCACCAAGACTATAAACCAACGTGAATGAACAATAGCAAAGGTTATTTTTATTTGGTGATTTCAAGCTCGTTTATTCGAAGTGGAAGTGCCCAAGCCAGAGAGAGATTTTCAACATAAACTTCTACAGTACAAGATACTATGGCAAATATCATTTTCGACGGGCTTCTCAAGATTCTTCCTAGTTCATTTTACACCTGGCTTCAAAGCGGACGTAACTGAATCCAAGAACGTGAATTGCATCAACATATAAGTCCACGGGTTCCAGACGGTAAAGGCAGGGGAAGTGCTCGTTCTGAACCTCTCCCGAAACGCCTCGAAGAGAGCATGATCGAGAGAGCGAATCAAACACCCCGCTAAACAAGACAAGAATATGAAAATCAAGTCCGGTTTCAGACACTCCGGGACTTCAATTTCAAATATTGGATAGTGTATGCTGTGCCTAGTAGGGTACTACAAAACACGCTCTTCTAGAGTCACGGGGGGGCATCGAACCGTTTCAAAGCGCGAGAAAAGGAAAACACGCCTTGACAACGGCCTTGAAGATCCTATCTCTCTCTCTCTCCAAACATGAGTTGAATGAAATTCAAATCAGGCACGTTGCTTCCTCGGTAGGCATCACCCTACGAGGTCCATACTGTCTACATATCTTTGGCTGTATCGGCCGCTTTACATGCGGGTGCTCGATTGACTGGACAGGCAAGTCGAATGACGCGCAGTATCCAGATTAGCTGCGCTAGCCATTTCAGATACAGAAAGACTAGTCTCGCACTATTCACAGATTACAGGCCTTGGGGATCGAAAAGGTTGGCCTTTCATTCTGTCATAGATCTTGCAAGAGCTATTCAGTACCTAATTGCAAGAAAACTTGTCAGAATTCTCCCATCGACTGCCCGTCTAGTAACGCTATTCCTTCACACAAGTGATCACCGATCTTTCCTTCCCTTCCTCCAGGAGAGAATTTTCAAGTGTGTTGATTCTATAAGCAGGCTAGGTCTAGGTGAATAAGAAATTTTTAACGCCTGCGCTAGCGAAGGCAAGTTCGGATGTCTGTCCCCGGCGTTTTTCCATGACTTACGGGACTGTGCGAGGGAGTTAGACTCTGCACTAGATCATCTCGGTGC